TTGATTAACTTCCTTCCTTTGTGCATTTGTCTCATTTGCATTTTAAAATTACAATTCCTAAAGAGGCAATATATGTCACTGTAGGGCATCATTAAAAGATTTAGGTACAGGTTTTGGGCAGCAGGAAGAAACCCAGCATTCTTATCTGCCTGTCAGGGAATTTCAGCTATTGAAACAATGTGAGATGAAGCTTCTTGAAAAGTCAAGAGTACCATTAATGTCTGATGAAACGTGAAAGCTTAGTGGCTGGTAGTGGAATTATGGTCTGTTCAGGACTGTCCAGTAAACAGTTTTTAACCTCCATTGTCAAAGACAACAGTGACATGTAATTCCCAAAATAGGCTATCCACTGCAGACAGTGTATTTATGAGCATCTATGATAAGCATGTCACAAGCTATGGTTGAGTAAGACTTTCAGGTTTCAAGGTATATCACTCTAGCTTCACATTTTCTTTCCTTGCAACTGAGAGTAATAAAACCCTCAGAACTCTGTAAACCTTATCAAATGAAGATGAGGATTTGATCTTATGACATCTGATTTCTTTGAAAGAATTTAGTTGTTAACTTGCTAAATTTTATTCTTATCACCTGAAGCATGTAAGCTGCTCATTTTAGTTAGATGGTGTCCAGACAGTGAAAATATTGCTGTCCATAAAATCAAGTGAAATGTCTGTATTTTGTCCTCATTAATTGAAAAAGCAATTATAATAATATCCACAATAATATAAACAAGGAATCCTCTTTAAAGTAAGAAAGGACTTTCTGAGATGCCTTCAGATTACATTTCAGAGAGATACAAATTATGTGAACAGCCTTTGACGGGAGGTAGTCTAGTCCATCCCAGAGTTTTTAAACACTCAGGGAGATTACTCTGTTGTAGAGGACAGTACATTATCAAATGGAACATCCCAGTCACTCAGCACTCTCAGCAGTTACAGCAGGTGTAGGGAGGTTAGTCTGTTTAAGAACTACCCTGGAAAGCAGTTGAGTTATTACACCGTACTTAAAACCTGTTGTCTGAGCTATAGATGTGACTCCTTAAGAATAAAAACAAATGACCCCTCATGCTGGACACCAAACCTCTTGTTAAATATGTTATTTTTAAAATTTTACTGTTTAATATTTTATTGCTTTTATTTATTTTATGCAGTAAGACAATAATCTGCTTTTCCTCTTAAAATAGTACTCATATCTCAATGTAAAATCTGGAATTTAGCATGGGAGGATTTTAAAAAAACAAAACTAAAGATCTTATTTGTTGATATTGTGTCAGTAGTCAGTGGGATATTCCAGCAGATGATTTGAATCACTAACTGCTTCTCAAATGAGTGGGCTTTTTACCTGATTGTCCATTAGCAAAAAGATCTGCTATGTGAAATTGCAGGTGTTTCTAGAATACTGTAGAAATAGAACATAACCCTTATGTTTTGAGATTTGTCAATGTGCAGAACTATGCAAAAAAGGTTAGAATTTAACTATCTGATCATCTTTCCATAATAAGATGAGACTGGATGTGGCACTTAGTGCCATGGTCTGGTAACCACGGCAGTAGTGGATCAAGGGTTGGACTTGATGATCTCAGAGGTCCTTTCCAACCATACATTCTATGGTTCTATGAATATTTCTGATTTGTGTTATTCCTATCTGCAGTCTGATGTCCCCTTCATTAAAGCTGCATTTGTAATAAATGTGGTAGTTCTTGTTCAGTGTTATCATATTATTATATATAGAAAGGTATATTTTCACTTGAAGAGAGAGGTCATTCATGGCCAAGTGACGGGAAAATCGTGATTTCTCTTTGCTGAGGCTTGTAAATATGTCACCAAATACTCTCTCACGACCCTTTCCTCTGACTGTTCCTTTCCAGGGGCCAGGTGACCTCTTCCATTGCATCGTTGTTTCAGACCATAAACAGATTATGCTCTTGAGCATTTACATTTTTTTGTTCAAAGCTTGAAAGTTACCTTCTGAGCAATGAGGAGAGGGAGTATTGTTAAACAAATTGAAAAAGTTTCCCAATACACCAAGGGCTTTTCAGCCCTCTGACCACCTGGTTCAGATGACGAGGTGGTGCGTACTTTCTAGGAGTGGGAGGAAAGGGCTGGAGGAAAACTTGTGTGGTACACTGAGCTCCCCAGCCTGCTCCAAGTTGATAAAAGCTTTGGAATCAAGGCTTAGTGGGTCCTTACTCTTTTAGTGGGCTGTTTGGGAGTGGAGATAGCATCATTTTTTTTCCCTTAGGACCCAGGAAGGAAAAAAACCAGGAACACACAGAAGAAGGAACTACTGGTATTTCTATGGACCTTTTACTGCTGCTTGAGCCTCCTTACTCCCTCCTCTGCCTGTTCCCAGCAGGAGCAGCTGGCATGTGACAAGCAGTGCCTTGTGCTGCTTCACTCGAGGTCCCCTCCCTTGCTGTTAGGGGCGACATTACATCCAGTACTCCCCAGCCCAGTGTCCAAGTCTCATTCCCTAACAGTCTTATGTTCTGTGGTTCATTTAAATGGGGCCACATCAGTAAGGGAAGTGTTTTGAACCCAATTAAGAAGAACTTGGGCTCCCTTCATTGCTACACAGAGCAGCACATTTGTTCCACCAGTAGCTCCAAGGGAGGAAAGACACCACTAGCAGTTTTGTAGGTATAAGGAGGGGAAGAGTGAAATCATTAAGATCCAATGACCTTAAGTGACCGTCGCCACTTGGTAAGAGAGCTGTCCCTCAGGAGCATGGGGGTGGTGCATAAGGAAGACAGAGGTGAGCAGTTGGCACGGGGACAGTAACTGGGCACCGGCTGATCCTGGTAAAGCAGCGAAGGTGGGAGTGGAGGTGTGCGACGGCTGCGCTCGGCCTTGACATGCAGAGCCAAAAGATCAGCATTGCTGCTACTTTCCCAAAACCTGCGATGAGGGCTCCCAAACGAGCTCCTGACATTGCTGCTTTGTCATGTAGAGCAGATGCTTCTTGGCAGCTATGTCGTTAAGGTTGATAATAAATTCAGTGTGTATTACATATACAGGAAAATAGATGTAAACTGTAGCACTTCCAGGATTAAATGTCTTCATGGATTGTGCTTTCTGCCCTGATCGAGGCTTGAAATATGCATATCTATTTACTCACATTTCTGAAAATGTAAATAATAAATATATAAGCATTTTTCAGAATACTCAGGGAAAATTTAGGGAAAGCTTCTTCATTTTTGTCAAGTGCAGATTTACAGCGAGGGTACAAAATGTAACTGAAATCATGGTGTGTTTGTGAGAGACTGCTTTATTAATTTCTCTTTAAGACAAATTAATTGGCTTTATTTAAACTGCTCATTGTGTTCTACACCACATAAAGGACCTGTTAGGATGACTGTGAGAGAGAGAGAGCTGGCAGGAGCAATACGCAGGAGAACTGCCCATTAAAATAGTGTATGAAGCTGTGCAAAGAAAAAGAAATTATATACAAAGCTGAAACTTTCTTTTCTGCTCTAAGACATGTTTCAGAAATGTTCCACAGCTTTTATTAAGGTATACAGAATTACAGAATTATCATACCTCATATTGTTCATTCAGAACAGCTTAATTAAAATTAATGTAATTGAGACTATATTCCCTCTGCTACCTATACCTGTACAGCATTATAAATGATATTGAGATAGTTATACCCAAGCTACCACATTTCAAACAGCTTTATAGCACCTCAGCTCATATGCCAGCAAGGAACTGTTTTGTTTCTCCCTGATTTTCATCATATTCTTTCTCTAAGAGTGTGCCAGGCTTAGCGGCAACTTATTGAACTAAACAGACCTTTATTTTGAGCCACTACATTTTTTTCCTATTGTTCTTTTTGTATTTACATAGTAGTTAACATTTTCTAAACACTTTCCTGTCTTTAATTCCTTAGGCTCCATGGGTTTCATCAGTAAATTAAATGTGCTCAGCAGTGTTGTCGGGTGCTGAAACTGGCTGGCACGAGCATTTCTATGCTAGAAAACCCTTAAATTACAAGATGCCAAGCAATCCCTTGGGAATGATTCCTAGGCTGCACAGGAGTGTCTGTGCCTAGGAATTAGTTGGGTAGGTGACAGGACCAGGAGCATGCCAGCAGCCAACTGGTTTTCCAGCAGTGAGGTTGGCTGTGCTGTAGCACATGAGCATGTCCCCTACCCACTCCTTGGTTCCCGGTGCAGCCCCTGGCAGTGCCCCTTGGAAAACAGCTTCTCTGCTCTAGTTTGGTGTCTCTTTGTCCCCACAGTGTCCCAGGAGATTTTGCAAGTCATGGTTAAACTATTCAGTGGGGGCTTGCGCTGATGTCCTTATTTTGTTAAATGTAGGAGGACAACTCTAGCAAAAGTCATGCAAGACAGTGCATTCCTAGTGGGGTGCCATTCCCTGGGATGCTGCCCCAGTCCACCACCTCCCTGCCATTTTGCAGATGGGAACTGGGAACTCACCTGCCTGGGTGAGCTGGCTTCCCTCCAGGAAGGCTCTGCATCTCAGGGCATGGCTGGGGCCTGCTTGGGCAGAAAGCACAAAAGTGTAATTAGAATTTTTTTCAAGTTGTTTTTTTTTTTTTTTTAGCAGTAGCTGAGAGTCACCTGTTTTTTCCGGGGCAAAGCTCTTCTCTTGGGGCTGCCTGCACTCAGTCTGGCTGGTGCATTGGGCAGACAAGGAGGAGTTTCAGGGTCTTATCTCCCTCACAGTGCTTCTGGTGTGAAAGGCTCTGTGGCATTTTCAGACACAGGGCTGCTGTCTCTGATGTTGTGCTTTCAAGTGCTCTTAAGTTCAGTGCCTTTGAACGAAAGGAAGTAACACTTCAGGATTTAGTATTTTCTTTTTGGATTGTTGACTGTCAAGATTTGAGGGCTTTAGCCCAGTAGAGTTTCTAACGTACTTTTTTCCTCTGTTCTTTTAACCAATAAGTATAATCTTGTAGTTCAACTTAGCAATGTCTTTGTGAGTGATTATTTGTAAAGTGTAAATCTGATCTATTATTTTGATATTGCCCCCCTACAGCTGACCTGAACAACGTCAGGTTCTCGGCGTACAGGACTGCCATGAAACTCCGCAGGCTGCAGAAAGCCCTCTGCTGTAAGTATCTGTCTGTGCCTCACCCGCTGCCAGGAGGGCTTCATGACCGATGCACGAGTTTGTTCACAGCTCTCAGAAGCAGAAAAGTGCTCCCACACATACCCCTGCTCTGCCTGGTGCATGGAAACCTCTCACCTGAAGGGTCTTTGCTGCCTTCAGTTTGTATGATCCTTACAAAACCAAAGTGCTGGGGATATGCAGATCTGTCCCTTGTAAGACAGAGCAGCGGATCAGAAAGAAAACTTAACATCCCCTACATATTTCTTGCCTTTACACTCTTTAGCTAAGTATTTTCACTGTGCTCAGTAGTGAAGCCATGTCCTGTGTCAGCCACAGCTCTACAGTGGAGAGGAATGCAATTGTAGTGTATTGTGAACAGTGAGAGCCTGGGTGAAATAATTGCTCTAGAGCTGGAGTTACTAATGGTTTGTTAAGTTGAATCTTGAGCCCTGAGGGGTTATTGCCTTTAAATGAGATCATCACAATAAACATTTAGCTTCATTTTTCCCCAGCTTTCGTTTGTGTTGAGAAGTCTCTCATCAGCTGTACATTAGTGGTGTGCATGTTCTAACACTTTAATTCTCCCAACTGTCGTATGGTATTCTACTTGTCACTGGAGTTACATTTCCTTTTCAGCTTATTGTAACCTGATAGCTAAATAATTTGCTTAGAGTTTTCTTGATAAGCCAGTAAGTTGCCAAAACAAGCAGTTTATCAGGCAGTCCAATTCAGAGGATTATTAAAATATTTTAACATTCACTGTCTGGCATTTAATTACAGGGTTAAATGTCTTGACACAGTTGCAAATGTCTCAACTGTTGATTTATCTCTAGTTTGGATTTGTGCTCACATGCTTTCTGGAACTGTGTCAAACCTCGGTATTTTTGTGTATGTTTACTTTCAGGCTTATAAGCATGGATGAATTCCACTAAAGAACAGACTGAATTTCTGAATGTATAAAAAAAACATGAAAAAAAAGAGGAAAAAATAAACAATAGGTGCAAACTTTTGTAATGACAGATTTCAACATTAATGCAGTGACAAAGAAGGAATTATGATGATCAGAAATAGAGATATCTTTCCATGGCACGGCACTTCTGCCACACTTACTGTAGACACCTGGTATAAGGAAAACCGGAGTGACATGCAGTGAAAAAATTATTCATAATTAGTGCAGCACTGAAGTAAGAAACTAAAATTTTTGGAATTGCAAGTTTCACTAGCTGGCAGTGCACAAGTGTAACTCGTAACAGGTTTTTATGACTGGAAGTGCAAAACTTTGCATTCCATTTTATTTGTATTAGAATTATAGAATATCCTGAGCTGGAAGGAACCCAGAAGAACCATTGAAGTCCATCTTGTGGCCCTGCATAGGACAGCCCCAAGAATCACATCATGTATCTGAGAGCATTGTTCAAATGCTTCTTGAATTCTGGCAAGCCTGGTGCTACCACCGGCTAGTGTGACCACTTCCCTGGGGTGCCTGTTCCAGTGCTCAACCACCCTCTGGGTAAAAAACCTTTTCATAATATGCAACCTAAATCTCCCCTGACACAGCTTTATATTCCCTCAGGTTGTGTCACTAGTCACCAAAGAGAAGAGATCAGCGCCTACCCCTCCTCCTCCCCTCACGAGGAAGTTGTAACTGTGATGAGGTCTCCCCTCAGTCTCCTCCAGGCTGAACAGACCAATTGTCTTCAGCCACTGCTCATACAGCTTCCCCTCCAGACCCTTCATCATCTTCGTTGCCCTCCTTTGGATGCTCTCTAAGAGCTTAATATTGTGTTTGCCCAAAACTGCACACAATAGTCAAGGTGAGGCCGCACCAGTGCAGAGCAGAGTGGGACAATCAACTGGCTGGTGATGCTTTGCCTGATACCCCCAGGACACAGTTGGCCCTTCTGGCTGCCAAGGTACTGCTGACTCATATTCAACCCCCAGGTCCCTTTCCATGACATTGCTCTCCAGCCTCTCATTTCCCCCTCTGTATGTACATCCAGGGTTGCCCCATCCCAGGTGCAGAATCCAGCACTTGCCCATGTTAAACATCATGCAGTTGGTTGATTGCCCAACCCTCTAATTTTTCAAGGTATCTCTGCAGGGCCTCCCTGCCTTCCAGGGAGTCAGTAGTTCCTCCCAATTTAGTGTCATCAACAAGTTTAGTATACCTTCGAGTCCTGCGTTGAAGTCGTTTATGATGTTGAGGCGCACTGGCCCTGGATTGGAGCCCTGCAGAACCCCACTAGTGAAAGGGCACCAGACTGATGTCACCCCATTCACTGTCACCCTCTGTGCTTGACCCGTGAGCCAATTGCTCACCCACTACATGATGTGTTTATCCAGCTGTGTGCTGGACATTTTGTCCAGAAGGATATTGAGAGACAGTATCAAAAGCTTTACTGAAATCCTAAAAGAGTACATCAACTGTTTTTTGCTTGGTCAGCTAGGTGAGTTGGCTTGTCCTAAAAGGAAATTAAGTTTGTTAAGCAGGGCTTTCCCACATGAACCCATGCTAGCTGTGGCAGATGACCGTGTGTTGTCCTTCAGGTGTTTTTCAATATCTACTTCCCACCATTAGATAATTCTGGACTCATCTTGACTTTTCTATTGGGTTTGCGTGGCCAGGTTTTGATAGCAGGGGTCTACAGGGATGATTTCTGTAAGAAACTGCTAGAAACTTACCCTGTGTCTGACAGAGCCAATGCCAACTGGCTACGAGATGGACCTGGGGCAGGCCAAGGTCAAGCCCATCAGGGATAGTGGTAGCGCCTCTGGGATAATGTAGTTGAGAAGGGTGGGGGAGAAAACTGCTGTGCAGGTGGGAAAGTGGAGTAAGGATATATGAGAGCAACAGCCCTGCAGATGCCAAGGTCAGTGGAGAAGGAGGGGGGAGGAGGTGCTCCAGGTGCCAGAGCTGAAATTCCCCTGCATCCTGTGAGGAAGACCATGGTGAGGCAGGCCATGGCCCTGCCAGCCATGGAGCTCCACAGTGGAGCAAATATCCACCTGGAGCCCGTGGAAGTCCCCATGCCAGAGCAGGTGGGTTGCTGAAGGAGACTGTGACCCCCTGTGAAGCCCATGCTGGAGCAAGCTCCTGGAAGACCTCTGGACCCCTATAGAGCCCATGTTGGAGCAGGTTTGCTGGCAGCACTGGTGACCACATGGAGGTGACCCGCACTGGGTAGTCTGGTCCTGAAGGACTGCATCCAGTGGGAGGGACCCATACTGGAGCAGCTTGTGAAGAACTACAGCCTGTGGGAAGGACTCACGTTGGAGCAGTTCATGGAGGACTGTCTCCTGTGGGAGGAACCCCTTACTGGAGCAAGGGAAGAGTGTGAGGAATCCTCTCTCTGAGGGGGAAGCAGTGGCAGAAGCAACGTGATGAACTGACACAGCCCCCATTCCCTGTTCCCTTGCAGCGCTGCAGGGGAGGAGGTAGAGAATTTGGCAGTGAAGTTGACCCTGGGAAGAAGGGAGAGGTTGGGGGATGTGTTTTAAGATGTAAGATTTATTTCTCATTATCCTGCTCTGATTTGCTTGGTAATGAATTCAGTTAATTCCCCCAGGTCAGGTCTGTTTTGCCTGTGATGGTAACTGGTGAGTGATATCTCCCTGTCCTTATCTCGACCCATGAGCCTTTCGGTGTATTTTCCCTCCCCTGTCCAGCTGAACAAGGGAGTAACAGAGCAGCTTTGGTGGGTATCTGGCATCCAGCCAGGGTCAGTCGACCTGCTACAACTTTGCCGTGTGGAATTGTAATTATGCGCTGCAGTCAGTTCATCTCTTGAGGTTACACTTAGGTAAATTTTCAGAGAATTGATGCTTTCAGAGACGTGCAGTGGTGCTGACACTGATTACTCTAGCACATTCTTCATACTTGTATCTAAGGAGAAGTATTTAAGGAATTTGGTTAGCAGCCTTTGTTCTTACAAATATTTTTGCCTGGAGACACCATCATTGTATTTGTGTATTCTATCATTTCAGTGTCGCTTGTGAACTAAGTTTAATTAGTTGAAAAAAAAAACAAACTCAACTCATTACAAAATACTTTTCCTGCATTTTGGCACTAGTAGAATTAGAGCACAGTGCTGGATTTCAGGGCTCCTACGCCTACACAAAACCAAAATCCCACTTGCAGTAGGTGCAGCTTTCAGCTCTCTTCATTTCAGTTTTAAAATTGCAGGATTTTATATATTCTTTTCTGCAAACTTCATAGAAAGCAGAGCAGTTTTGTCTACTGAGGAGCACTCTAAAAATGTGTGCACAGTCGAAGGCCTGCAGAAATAAAGGTACAGCCTATTTCTCAGTGGCAAGAATAGAAACATTTTTTCAAAAAACTATACTTAGACTTGAGTTCTTTTCAGTTCGGAAATCAGCCCAATGAACATTAAGACATGAGGATAAACCTAATGAAGAATATAGAAAATAGCAATTCTTAACAAATAAATGCTTGTGTACTGTGTTACCTTAGAAGAATCTAGTGTATGACTCTTATCATCCCAACCTTTGAAATTATTGTGAGCATGCCAGGTGTAACTGTTGCACCAGGGTTTTTTTAAATGTATGTTTTCCTTTGATAATCACATCAAAGCATGATGACTTTCTTGTTTTGCTACTTTTAAAGATCTGATCTTCAAGTGCAAACCACATCACAACATTGTGATCTCAATAAAATGAGATGTATTCACAAACTTTTCTTGGAGATGCAGCAAAAGAAAGTATCCAAGAACTTCTGTTAGGGGTCTTTTTTCCTTTAATTTTGTACAGGCTAGATTAAACACATTTTTTAATGTATCAGCTAACAGCAGCAGGTTAGAGAAGAGATGATTTGTGTTCTGGGAAGACCATTAATACTTTTTATCACCAACCATATGTTGAGTTTTCTCTAAGTTCAGCTTGTGCCCTCCGCAGTGTACTTTCTTCGCCTGTTAATTGTCACTTCTGTCCTTCAGCTGGTTACTTATTCCAAGTTGTCTTTTGCCTTTTTCCTGCAATCCGGCCATGGGTTGGTGTCTAGTTACAAACATCTTAATGTTTTCTATATTGCCTTAGAGGCCAAAGAAGTATTTGTATAAAGGACTTAGACTTCAAAATAATCCAGAAGCCACTGCTCACACAAATTTTGGAGTCAGTTTTGGGATTTTGAATAGAAAAGAGTAAAAGAGTGGCAGATAACCCACAGAAAATGCAAAGCATTAAGTGGTATGGTTTATTTCAATTAAGGCTTTTCAAATCACTGACTGGCACCAAATATTCAACTCTTCGATACCTATCTGACTGTGGAGCTTGTCTTTTGAAAGTTGGTCATTCATGGGACCTCCATATTTGCTTTTAGGAAAGAAATACGTAGTTTCATCCTCTGGGAGAGGACCCCTCCACATTCCTTAAGTCTTGGTGGGAAAGATGCAGAGGGAGCTTAATGTGGCCAAGGCCAGAGGCCTTCCTTTTTCCCATTAAAAGAGGTTCCCTAAAGCAGAGCATAGTGGCAAGCACTTTCTGCTTGTTAGGAGATGATCATGTATTATTAACTTCAGGATAGGACAGGAGGTTGATGAAGAGTGGGCTGAAAGGCTTTTCAGAATATGCTGCTTATTAGTGGGAAAAGCTTTCACAAAGTGGAATGACCCATGTTTAGCAGTAGCTGCATATATAATTAAGCTGTCAGTCAGATGCCTGAGGGGTTCATTTAATTACCGTTGATTCGTAGTCTCAAAGGAACTGAGAGTTCAGTCTAAAGCTCAGAGTTATAGGTGTTGAGAGGGCTGTGCTCTATTTTCGATTTGACTGATAAATTCTTAGAAGAAAAGTATCTTTCTGAGACTCTCAGGAATGGGTCTGATGCTTTTGTGGGATATAACAGTGACCTTAGAATAGCTATACCTTGTATGCTACTAGATTAAACACAATATTCCAAAATACTTTCTTTTAATAAATATCTATATGCTAATGTGAAAAAAGCTAAAGTTCCGATAAACCCCTGCACAAAATCATAGATTCAAAGTTAAATTTCTTGGTTTAATAATAGGGATAGCATTCTGATCTTTCCTTATTCAGTCTAGCACTAGGTATGTCAGGCCCCAGAGGATGAAGTTTTCAAAAGTGCTTAAGGGATTTAGTAGCAGAAGTAAGTCCCTATTGATTTCCAATTAAATGTATACTCCTGAAATTCTTTTGGCAATTATGAAATCTCAGCATACTGTCCATGCAGCATAACCAAGCAGCCCTGTGGGCAGCTCAGGTATTTCTCATCTCCCACTAGGCCATCAAAGGGGCAGTTTCATACTTGGTAAAATAGGATACTCAAGTGTGAATTTGGCAAATGTGCCCTTAAACAGGATCAAGTTCTAAAAAAATTCCTGTATGGTATTCTGAGTTTAGCCTCTACACATTATGGAGGTTTCTTGACATTAAGATGTTGCTTACCGGAACTCAAGGAGCACATTTTTATTCCAATGAGAGAAAAACTGGTCTTGCAGTTGGGTCAATTTATTTTCCAGTTTTGTGAAGAATTTCATAGATGATTTTGGGCAGTTCATTTTGGACCAGATGCTGCTCCCTTGGGTCATATTGAATCATGCTGCACTTTATGACTGCTCATGGTATGAGCAGGATTAACAGCATCTGTCTGGGCTTTTAACATCCCCATTGCTCACACTCTGGAAATTCACTGCAAGGAGTTGCAAAGGGGTTTCATGTGGCAGCAGGAAGACCTGTGTCAAGATCTCTCATTTTTCTGATTTCCTTTGTTCTTATTCCTGTTTTACTTTGTAAGGGGATCCCATAATTTTGTGTCCCCCTAAGTGTGATGCTCCTGGTGATATTAGTATGCAGAGGTTAAGAGCTGTTTTGCCTTGGACGTCCTAATTTCAAAACACAACTGACTTAAATTGGAATGAAAACCAAGTTTTTAAATGTCTGTGACAAAAAACTCAGTTGTATGTTGACTAATATATTCAAATGTGTCTTACTCTGTAATATCATAAAGGTATTTATAACTGTAAATGCTCTTCAGAATTAAAAATTGATAAATTTAATTAAGAAATAATAAATCAGGCCATTTAATGATTCTGGAACCTTCTTTTCCCTGTTCTCACCAGAGCAAAAAGTAACAGAGAGGTTAATCACAGTTCAGTTGTTCTTTGTTTGTGTATTCCTTGTGGAGTTTGGTTCGGTTAAGATCTCTGAACTTGTGTAAGAAATGGACAGCACATCTCAGTAAAGCTGATGACCTGTACTATGTCAAGAGCACACTTGGTGAATGCAGTAATCAAATATTAGCCTGTCTATCTGTAGGAACATAAAGCATGAAATATATAATTTTTACTTACATAGTAATTTATGTGTAATATTTCCATAGGATCAAAGATCCTAATAGGTACTTTACAGCTAAAAATGAAACATACACTCTGGTCTCTAAGGCCATAGCTGAATAAACAGTGCATTTGCAGGAGTCTTGAAACTAGTTTTGCATGTGACTTTCAGAGGACATAAAATGTCCTCTGGCCCAGCACATAAGCCAAATAAAGTGTGCTATTTACTTTTTGGACGTGGGTAATACAACCACTGTTTCTCTTCACTCTTTAGTGTGATTTATTTTTTTTATTCTAACAGTGGATCTCCTGAGTCTGTCTGCTGCATGTGATGCCTTGGACCAGCACAACCTCAAACAAAATGACCAGCCGATGGATATTCTGCAGATCATTAACTGCCTGACCACCATTTACGATCGACTGGAACAAGAGCACAATAACCTGGTCACTGTTCCCCTTTGTGTGGACATGTGCCTCAACTGGCTGCTGAATGTCTACGACACGTATGTCTGGGTGCTCTGGACTGGGGGTGCTCGGGAGCTTTCCCAATAGCAGGAGTGGGGAAGGGGGGAAGGGGCAACGAGCTCCTCTGCCTCGTTATAACATGGATGGCTTGGAGCTGAAAAAGAGGATCGTTGAAGTGAAAGTTTAATAAACCTAATAAGCCTAATGGTTTAATGGCTGCATTTAGCTGAATCAATAGAGCCCTTGCTTAGGCTTACAATCCTAGATTTATTAAGCCAAGCAGTGAGAGAGCTGGAAAACAGAACTTTTTAAGCAGATTTCTATGTTCAGACCAATATGTGTGTTCAAGCCAGTTCTGTGACTGCATGTCCTCAGTAGGTCATAGCTTTGTGTGGCTTTTTAATTTATTTAGATAAAGAAATTTAAGAGAATTATCAAGAAGCAACAGAATGGACATCATCATATAAATTCTTGTATGTGGCTGTACTTCTGGTGTTAAACCTTATCAAATATGTCAATTTTCTATACTTTTCTGTCATTCTCGTTCAAAGATGGAAAAGGCTTATCTCTAATCTAATGTGTTTACAACCCTTAGCAGTCAGGAGATTTGAGAAATACTTAATTCAAAATTCAATTTTAAAAATTTTACCTATAAGTGTAAATACAACAGACTAAATGTACCTGAACAAAATTTATGGGTTTTCCTATTCAGTGGGTTAATGATGTTGCTCATAGTGCATAGGCAAATTCCAACACACGTTTGTAAGCTAATTTTAGAATAAACCATTATATTTTTATTTGGTGAATTTAGTGAAAAAAAAGTCATTGGGAGTCTATTATTTGCATTTTTAAGGTTTTTATCAGCCCCTTCCAGCTCATCACTGTGGCAGAATAAACATTTACCTGTAGAAATGGAAGGACATGGAACAATTACTGTATTTCCATTGATATTTCCATTGATACTGAAGTGAAGTGGCATAATATCGTTATTCTATCCAGCACTGGATCTTCAGGGATCACCTGCAAAAAAAAAAATACAGATTTGTACAGATACTGTTTTCCTGCAGAGTCACCTCCAATAAGCCAGTTGTTTGTGACATCCTCTGCAACATCTGCAGTACCCTGTGAAGTGGATTACCCAGATTACATTATATTTCTTGTGGTGTACCAGTGCAGAATGGGGCTATATTCATTTAAGAGCCAGGTTTTATTTCTTTAATCTGCTTTAGCTTTCACAGAACTCTGATCCACTCCTGAGTTATCATCAACCGTAAATAACATATAAACGAAGACACCTAGTTTGTGAAAAACAAAAAAGATGTGCTAAGGATGTTAATCTATATCAGCCACATCAGAAGCAGAGAGAGAACTAAAGGTCATTCCACAGGCTGCTCCTAAGCTGAACCGTCCGGTTTAGATTTGCCATGTCCAGTCTGGTTTTCTTCACATTGCACTGTACTGCAAGTACAACATTAGAAATTATAATTGTCTGCCTCCAGGCAGTTCCCTGGGTGTGCTAGGGAGCTGCACATTGCAGGACACAATGAAACACAGAGGTGTTTTATACATGAGGAAAGCTTGTAGCTATTTTACCTAAATTCAAGTTTGAATTACACTGGTAAGAGAGATGACCTTGGGGTTGCACATGTTTAGTTTTCATTGTAAACTTAATAGGCAGAGATCAACCGAAGTGCTTAGCAGTACCGGAGACATTTAATTAAATGTACTGAATCTTTACTTTTCTTATAATTGAAAACTGTCATTTGTAAAGATATTAATCAAATTCACAGTCAATGACTGATCTAATTATGGGCACATCTCTGCAAATCCAGCTCGTTTCGAATTTGTTTTAATTGATCAGTCACTCATGCTCATTTGCAGTAGCATGCTAAATTATTGGTTTGACTTGGGAGGAGAGGAGAGTGAACTGAACAACTCATGATTCATACAAGTTTCAATTTAATATGCCTTGCAGAGAAATCATCATTCTACATTCTTCTCTTGTATAATTTGCATGAGCCTGGTATTCATCAGGAGGAGTTTCTCAGGGCACAGATTATAATTAATTTGGAAAAGATTTGAGGGAGAGGAGTAAGAGGAGTGGAGTGTGGAAAGCATAGGTAAACAACAAGTGCTTATTTGTGGTGGAAAACACAAGATTCTTTAGTAAAAGGTAGCAAATTCTAAATTTGGCTTTGTCCGCCAGTTTGTGTCTGCACCTTTTATAGGATTTGCAGGGGAGATGTGTGGGTAAATGAGCACCACTGGCTCCCCAACACTTTCATAGGATTAAAAAGACAACTTGCATCTTTGTGGAATGGTGCAGCCTGATGCATGACCACGGCATGCCTCTGTATGATTTATCTTACTCCCAATGGTGATCTGATTGATGATGCTTCAAAGCTGTTAGGGCTCTGCTTTAAAAATGTTGGTTTTAGGCACTAGCTTCCTATTTTGTATATGTCTTCGTTTGCAATAGATGTTACAAATTTGAAATGCCATCAGAAATAAAAGTCTGAGGGGGGAAGCCAGCAACTGGAAGTAAATTGAGTTAAACCGGATGACTGAGAGAAGATGTGAAGGTTTGTCACTGCATTGCCTGCAGCTCAGAGGAGGGTGTTCTCACAGTCACATTAAAAAGCAAAAGTAGTAGCATGGGCATGTTACAAGGCAGGAGTGAGTGTGAGGGGGAGGCTGACCAGAGGCAGCAGGGGGGACTGACTGGAGTGAGTGTTCCAGCCCGTGGCGCTGCACAGGACAGGTTTGAGCGCTGCGAGGAGGAGCTCAGAAACCACACCGTGGTGTTAATGGCATAACTGCCTTGCCATGCCTCCCTGCCTGCTATGATTTCTAGGCAAGTCTCATCATTCACGTGAATGTCTTGCAAGTGTCTCTGTCGCTACACCCTGCTGGCAGAGGCTGCTTTTTGTGCTTGGCTCCCTGTTGCCTTTTCAACAAGTCAGGGCAGGGCTGACAGACAATAAGCAAAGACTTCCTAAAAGCAACTGCTACATCACATTTCTGGTGAAAGTGAAGCTGTATTGTCTTCAGCAAAGGGGCTGGTTTGCTGTTCTGTCAGGGACCTCATCTTCTCTGAGAATTGCTCAGCAGCAGTTCATAGAGAAGCCTGTTCAAATAAGCATAGGGTAAAGGCTTTTCACTCATTTTTGCCCAAACAAAGGGGATGAGGAATTATTTCTGATAGAAATTGGTACAACAGTACAGTCCAGTTCAACTATGCCTATGAAGCCACAACTATATTTTATATTTCGTTTCTGGCTTACAACTGCCCAGCTTGTGCTCTGCAGTGTGATTCTCTGTGGGACTTAATTTAGGAAGGCACACAGTACTGCTGTGAACTTGGTTACAGTAAACAAATTATGGTATGAATGGATCATGTTATCGTGTTTCTTTTCCATTAGGGGTCGAACAGGAAGGATCCGTGTCTTATCTTTCAAAACTGGGGTTGTATCCCTTTGTAAAGCACACCTGGAAGATAAATATAGATGTAAGTCAGTCTAATTGTTTTGGTTTTACCTTATGTTTATATTCTTGTTTTATTCCTCCTTTTCCTTATTGCATAAACATTTAAATAGCATACAACAAGTAATAGTTTTAGATATTCTGGATGCAAAGTGTGTTAATTTGTTCCACCTTTTACTTTTAAGTTATCTATTTAGTATGATTTTAGGTAGTTTAGCACAGTGGTCTCCAAATATTTTTGATCCCACTCCTACCAGTAGAAAATTTTTGAACATGCACTTCCAATAGATGCATATCTATTTATAAATTATATACATGTACCAGTGTATTAATATATTGTCTGCATTATAGAGCATGCAAAAAATAAAATGCTAGAAGGAATGTGATAAAGATTAAATAAACACTATTTTGAAAATTTTAATTTTATCTATTTAATAGCACCAAAAAATATTTCCATACTGCAACCTAATAGATTGTTTTGAACACTCCCTGGGGCACAAGAACCCCTTTTTGGAGACCACTGGTTTGGTACACCTTCAGACACAAAAATGCATGTCTACAGGACACTTGCATTACACTATTTTCAAATATATTAACTTTTTAAAATGTTTTTCACATTGTGATCAGTCTTATTATGTACATTGTGTTTAAATATAGTTGCTACCATTAAATAAATACTAAAGGCATGCAAATTATGCATATTTTAATAGACGAAATACTAGAAAAAATTCCACTAGAAGTCTTATTCTTACCTGAATAATGAATCAGTTCATTAATGAGACTAGGATCCAAAAAAGAACTGATAAATGTAATTCTCAAGAGTAACTTTCTTATTAAATTAACTAGTATCACTCATTCATACATTTAAAAGTACTGCTAAAAACCAACCTTTAGGATTTGACCGAATGCCATAGCAGTTCTTCATCAATTGTTATCTTTCATTCTTTACTGATTAAAGCTGAAGAACTCTAAAGAGAAAAGAGACAGTACCAACAACAGAGTCTATGCATAACTATGTATAATTGGATCAGATTTTAGGGCAATCACAATGAATGTCACAGTTTAGATTTCTAGATGTTCTATGTGGGTGTTGTGAAAAAATATTCAGAAAATCTTTTAAGAAAATTACTCTGCACAGGTATTTTTCAAAATGGTATTTCATCGAGGATTGTCAAAGTTATAAAGGAAAACATTTATTCATATTTTAGATTCTCCTGCAGTATGTATGCACGCTAATGCATAACCTATGATGTGTCCTATAACCTTCTCAAGGTTATAGGACACTTAATGTTTTAATGATGGGGAAATCAAAAGCTGAACAGCTGTGGGAGAGGAAGGAATTGTGCCTGTCAGGCTGTGATCTGACTTTGCCATCCATGCTGAGGTCGTAATGCAGTTGCTGTTAATATGGCTGCAAGTATGCAATGAGTTGCAGCCCTTAAAATTTTTTCCCGCATTTGTGCAGCAGAGCAGAGTTAGTTGTGTTAGAGCACAAGTCTTCAGGCTTGCAGAGGTGATGGAAGGTTACATCCCAAAATGATTTATTATAAAACTAGACTTTGCGACAGTGAAATTCATGTAATTAAAATATAATCCTTTCTCTATCCATTTCTTTATACCTTTAGAAGAAAACAGGTGTCAAAGCAACACTAGGAAAGTTACCTTGAGTAGTGCTGAAACACCCTTATAATTGCATCCCTTGTGTTGCATGAAATATTAAGGTGGCTCCAAAAAAAGAGCATTATTTTATTCTAGTCTTCTTTTGCTCTTTTTTTTACTGTTTGAAAAGTAAGGAGAATTTATTCAGGCAATGTATTGTCAACAGAGATGTTACCAAATAAATATTTCAGTAAAAGCTAGCCTGGTTTTTCTTATTAATATAAATTCTATAACCTCCTCAATGTATACATAGTATAACTATTTCCCACCAAATTGAATTGATCTTATGAAGTGATAATAATTCTGTCCTGTAAGGATTTTTTTCCAGAATGCTGCAGTAACAGGACATAGCTTCAAGTGACATTTCACTTCAGAAGTTAAAAATTAATATCATATTAATATTCCTGATGGATGGCAGGTTCTGTCGTACTCTAATTTTTTTATTTTATTTTAGAAATTCTCTTGAATTAAAAGATTATGATATATCAAAGTTAGGGAGCTCTTGTTTATCATTTCAACTCATCCAAAGGAGAAATGGATTCTCTGAGTTTTACATTGATTGCTAAGAATTGAAAAGGGTGCTTTATGTTGTATGAAATTATTTTACTGTTAAAAAATATTTTTAAAACATCTATGTTGTAGCTCAGAGATTGTTGTCTGATTAGTTGTGTTACAGAGTTACAGCTTCTATCATCCATAATGTCACGGGTGCTGTCTTAGAATGGCCTTTCTTACCAGGTGCAATACAAGCCAATAATACTATTAGAAGTTATCACTAGATTGCATGTTTCATAGGAGAACAACAGTGTTTTTGGGAAGAGAAGCAGCCGAAACAAAGACATGTTTATGTTCATGTCCGCCAAGGCTGTTGACTGCGCCTGTGAGCCTTTGAAACGATGCAAACTTCTGCGCTACTTTGGCACATCCTGGTAGTGATTCTTTACCTTTGGGGTCCTTTTCCTTCCTCCAGACCTGTTCAAGCAAGTGGCGAGCTCCACTGGCTTCTGTGACCAGCGCCGGCTGGGGCTGCTGCTGCACGACTCCATCCAGATCCCGCGGCAGCTGGGGGAAGTGGCCTCCTTCGGGGGCAGCAACATCGAGCCCAGCGTCAGAAGCTGCTTCCAGTTTGTAAGTTCATGTTTTCTCACTGTGGATTTTCTGAACAGGATGGAAAACCTAGAAGGATTAGGGTACTGTGGTCGTTTATTGGTGGTGTTCGTCGGTGTATTAAGCCGTTCCTTTGACGAGGTGTATTTGAATTAGCTCAGACAGCAGATAATTGTTGTCAGGGCTTATATTGTAACTGAACCCTGCAAACAGTTTAAGTCTTTGTTACAGCAGCTCCTGGTTTTACAGTTTTCTATTTCCAGCAGTAGATCACTGTTTATTGCTGCCATGTAGGTGAGCAGCAGTGGCTAATCTAAATTTTGAGCATGTTCATACCAGTGACAGCTAGGTGCCCAGGGGAGCGATAGGCAACTGCCTGCAGTGCTGTCTAGGGGCGAGGAGTGCTCGATGAGCTCCTTCCACTCCTTGAATGGCTAATGCCAGTCTTCTGTAAAGAGTACTGAAAGAATTCCTGTCCTCTCTGTTAAGGAATGCACAGCAAACTGGAGGCTCTTTTTCAAACTTGTAAATTATTTAATCTGGGGAGGAAGAGAGTTATGGGAATTATTCATCCTTATCATAACTACCAGCAGAATGCACAAGATGAAGACAGCTGCTTAATGAAAAGGTAGAGGAGGGGAGGTAATGTATGGTCTGTGATTAACTCTAAATGCATCTTCTACATTACAATGGAAGAAAGCTCTTTTCCCATCCCCTGACTGTTCCTGAGGGATTTTTTGTTTGGTTGGGGAAGGGGGGAATTGCTTGGTTTTTTGCCTGCTGCTCAAGTTTCATTATGTAGTAGTTTCAGTTCTGTAGTAAGCAAAACACAGCAAGTGTTTTCAATGAATATTAATGCTTGGAAGTAGACTGCTTACACACAGTGACTATGAAAAGAATCTAATTCTAAAATCATCACTAACTTCAGTTGTGATGGGATATTTGCTTTCTGTATTTTTTTTAATTTGTTTTAACAGACTAATTCTACAGGATTCACATTTTCCTGTTTCCATCAGTCATGTCTTGACCTTTTATAATTCTAATATGTACTTGATGCCATTTCAAAATGAATGTTTTATAGGGCTGTGTCCTGGGTGGATAACCCATGCTCATAAACTATGTGTAGTAACAGAGCTGTGGCTTTCAAGCCTCGAGTTCCATATTGGGCTTTCAAGTGACACTAACACAAACTGATGCTGCAGCAAATTCATGGTCAAAAGTTTGTACAAATGACCTTCCTCAGAAATTAGGACTCACTGGATTCTACTTTTTCCCAAGTGAATGGCAACAGTGCTTAAGAACACTGTTGAAAAACTCAAGGAAAAGTGACCTCAGGATCTGGCAAAACTATGGCTTTTTGTGAAAGGGATCTGCTGTTCTGTGTGTTTATACTAGGAATAAAACAATTAAACTCATAGTGATGGAAGATCCAAAGCCAGTTTTTATAAAGTAGGAAGAAGACCTTGGAATAAGGTCTTTCTTGTTTGTTTGAATGAGTTAGCAACACTGTCATCACAGATGAAGACATGCCAGCAGGCTGAACACTGTACTGCATCCGTCTGCTGGCATTTCTAGAAGAAGACCAAGCACAACTGGGCACAACCCTTGACCTGTTCATAGATCAGAACATTGGAAAACCTGAGGCTTCCTTCTCTTCCCTGTGCTGAAAAATAGATTTTCTTCTTACCTGCAGTAAAAGGAACTTCATCCTCTCTTTTTCCTCTGGATGAAGCCTCCTTTTAACTCTCAAGAGTGGGAAGGTGGTTTCTCACCTGGGCTGCAGCAGAACAGACAGTCTTCTAGGAGGACCAGAGAGGGGGAGGGAGGCTCAACAGGGGAGGGGAAATACAAAAATAGGTGGGATGGAGTCCTAGGGAGAGGAGCAGAAATCCAAGCATAGGGAGAGCCTAATGGAGGGGAGAGAGAAGGAATTAAGAAGTGGAAAAATAAGGACCACCCTTAGGGAATGATGGTAATAACAGTAGTAGGAATAATAGTGCTAAAGGAAACAGAGAGTGGGTAGAATGATGCATGAAAGAAAGGAGCCGCTGGGAATGGAGATGGGGGAAGAAATAAGAACTTTCCAGGAGAAAGAGAGAAGGAAAACACAGAAACGTCCTTTCAGTGTAGGATGGTAGGCAGCAGGATTCACAGGCTGGGGGGCAGCAGAGAGGTGCTGGCGGGGGAGAGGGATCAGCCCAGGAAATGGAGAGGCTGGAGAAGTTGGACAGCCAAGGAGTATCTTAGGGGGCTCCTGGTAGTCTCCTTTTACCGAAGTGAGATAATTAATTTTTAAAAAATATTGTGGGGGCTCATAGTTTACATTACTGCGTGGAAACTAAATTCAGTCTTTCTTTGTACACCCACGGTGAGGAATGTTTTTTCTTTAGCAGTGTTTTTTTCTTTCCTTTTTTTTTTTTGATTCTTTCTGGTGATGATAAGCCAACAATAAATTGTGGTTATGTCAGAGTCTGCAACAACTGTATGCCTCAGAAATGGCTCTCCCAGCTCCCTTAGGTTAGGTGCCCTGGCAACGGCCTTGTCTGTCTTCACAACAGCAGAAAAAAAGGGGATGTTTACTGTTCCCAGTGATAACAGGGGAAATCTCTCCTGCTTTTCGAAGTGTAAGCCCTTGGGAATGAGGCTCGGGGAGGGAGGAGCCCAGCCTTGCTGTTGGCAGTAGCCTGCCCACTGCTTCTCCTGAGAATTGGGTCCCCTTATCCTGGGGCTGCTGCTGCTGTCCTGCTGCTTCTCACTCCCTCAGCACTGACTTGTGCTTTCCACAGTTTTCTTCATTTACAGAAAGGTGCTGGTAATAATTGTTGGGAGGAGGAGGATATCATGGGGCTCGTCTTTCACGTTTGGGGCAGAGGGTTGTAATTTCTGCTTTGAGGTTTTAAAGAAAAAATATTTTTAACTGAGAGTAAAGAGCTTAATCCAGTGACCACTCGAAGACTGCATAGGTCTGCTTAAGCTCAGAATGCATCAAAGCAATTTGTAGATCTATGAAAAATTGAGTGAATTCAGTATTACTGCAGTGTGAAAGGACTTTCCTTTTAGTTCTGTGATGGGTATGTTTTTTAAGTAAACAGGATAGGGAAATGATATGGACTGAAGGACACATACACAGTATTTTAATCACAGTGGAAAACTATTAATATGCTTTCCTCATATAGTGTAAACAGGACCTAGGAATTAACATCACCGCCTTGGATGAGTTACTGTGACATTGGGACTTTTAAGAAATGTGATGTGATAGCAGAGTGCAGCTCAGATGAAAATGTCCCTTGCCATTTCTCAATAAAATATTGGATAGTTGGTTCTCGATTATAAGGTACTTTAAGTGTTCTTTCTTTCAAGGATGAATTTGAATTAGAGTACTTGATGTTAAAAACTAGTACAGATGAAGCTAAGGAGTAGTATGTGCAGTTCATTCATATATATATTTTAAACCTTGTTTCATTTCACTTTGACAAAGCAAAGTATTTTAATATTCTGTGTTGTATAGTCTGCATTCCTAGATTTGTACTTGATCAATGGTAAGGCAAGATCAGCCTGGTTTCTAAAACCACTTAACTGTGTCCAAATCCAGTGTATTTATGCAGACAAATAAAAGCTAAAATAAGGCTGTTAGTCCTTTTAGGTGGCATTTATCTGTTACAAATCCTGGGTCAGGACCCTAATAGTGAATTTGGCCATAAATGGTTTGATTCAGAAAGGTTGGGCAGTTGTTTTGTGAGGAGTTGGCTGAGGTTGTTTATTGATTTTATTTTTTGAACAGTTTAGAAATACCAATACTGTGTACAAATAACTATATATAGTTACATACAGGTCTGTATGAAAATAACTTACAAATGCAGTGTTACTGTTGATGAACTTCATCTCTTTTAAGAGATTCAGACAGCCCTTGTTTCTATTCATAGGATATTTCATCTGCTTTTGGCTCTGACAAGAGAGAGCTGGCCAAAGGGAACTAGTAAATCCTTCCTCAAGCTGCTGTGCTGTAAATGTCATAAACCAGCAATTCTGGTTTTATTTCAGCAGGATTTTGTGAACCTGTGCCTGACTTTGGAGGCAGACTTTAAGAGTCCTAGAAGTGAACTGCTTTAAAGAGCTATTTTAAAATGGTTTAGGGGATGGGGATCAGCAGGATGGTGTTGTTCAAGTGTGGATGATATAAAACTACACTAATTCACTTCTGAGTTCATGTTATTTTATTTTATTACTCTTGGCCACAACACTAAAAACATTGACTGGAGTAGTCAATGCAATCAAGTGTAATATAGGAGTGGAAGACAAGGTTGAACAGGGTTAAATCTGGCTCTGGGGAGACAGGGCTGCTGTTACTGGCTTGCTCTGCACTTTTAAACTTCAACAAGTCGTATGAATCCTATTCCTCAGGTTGCTTTGTCCAAAATACCATTTGCTAATGTAAAGCTTTCCATCCTGGATGAAAAATTCAATTAAATTAACAATGTTGATCTATTTCCAGTTGATTTCCTACACTGCACATAAACAGAATCTAGCTCATCAGAAATGTTATCAGAAATTTCTGCTCTGTTGATTGACTTAGTCCAAAAAAATATCACATTGTTCGTGTAAAATCCCAACTGTACTTTGGAGCGTATTTCATATTATGGACAGTTAATATAGCATAGAATATTTTTTAAACTACTAACTGGAAGAAGAAGGAAAAAAACTCAACTCCCAAGTATTGCATAAAGATGCTAGCACCACCCAACTTCCTATTCCCCCATTGTTTCTGCAAAGTAAATACTGAAAAACAGATGTCTGGAACATAATGAATTTGAATGTCCTCCATAACAAATTGTTATTTGTAAGATAGAAAGGCCTTTATGAATTTTACTTTATGATTCACTCTGTTATTACCATAAAAATTGGGAGTTGCACAGCAATGTGTTCAAGAGAAGAATCATTAATATTCTTTACAGCTTGATCTTGTTGGTTCAGATATGAACTGTATGAATTCAGCCTTTTTCCTGTATGTAAAATCTTCAGCTGCTGCCTTACCGGATTTAGAGATTATTAAAAAAAATCGTAATAGCAACTCAGGGAACAGTCGAGAACTGTGTGTCCTGTACTGTCTGACCCTGACCAGCTTTGCTCCACGTGGCTTTAAATCTTCATGTAATATAATTCGGAACCAGTTCTGATACATTTTAATGCACCTAATCTCTCTGAGCACAGGTCTTGTACAGCCAGCGTGCAGAGCTCTGGGTAGGCAGCTATTGGGACTGCTGGCAATTGACAGTGACTGCAAAATTAAAATAGATCTTTGGGTGTTACAGAAAGTCTTTCATTGCCGCAGCGTTTTCCCTGCAAATTTAAAGCAGCTACAAGTGGAGAGCAGGGCTTTGAGCGGCTCATTCTTATTCTGACTGCAGCTTACACTGCAGCATTTCTGTACACTTCATGTTTTTCTATTAGAAATGGTATATTAAAGAGATCCTCTTTAAATTTTTTTTTGAGGCTTAGAGGACCTCTGTATAGAAAGTGTAGTCTGCTAGACAGAGTAATGGTTTGCCAGTGTAGTTCCTGTCTGATGCTGGCTCCCTGAGTGAGCCACAGAAATTCTCTTGCCAGACTCTTTAATGCCTGGGCCTCTAGCTGAAAAATAGACATATAGATGATCATATTTTATAAATATGCCTTTCTCTTGGGAGAATTCTAGAATTAATTCAATTCCTCTGAATTCACTGATGTCCTGTGGCAGAAGGCAGTATCTGGTATTCTGAAAAAATTCTGTTGCCAATGTTGGCTGGACTGTACTGTGCTTTTGATTTTCTCCTTTTTACTTTGCTGGGGGGTGTTCCTGAATCCTGTAGCTACATGAAGAAACAGTAGGGTTTAATGCAGAAGTCTTCAGAAGTACTTCAATGTGTATTCCATTTAATATAGATCTGTAGCGACTATCAAATTATGAAAGACTTTATCTGAATAACTGTAGATATGCTGTGGTTTGAGGGTTTTACCCCAAATATCCAAAAAAGAATGTTTCTGACTGTACTAGAAATCCATATATGAGGATCTTAAATGTAGTCACAGAAGTCTTTAAATGGTTTCCCAAACTAACATCTCAAGAAGAAAGCCCTGACCAAGAATCTTGGTTTGTAACAAACTGAAGTATTGCAGCAGCATTTTAAGTCAATTCTAATGCAATGCATTATTCAAGGGATATTACAGGGTTTGTATTCCACATCTTTTTTGCATCTAGGGGTTCCGTGTAAGAGACTTTGCATTTTTCTCAGTCTTCAAGTATTGATCAGTTAATTTGTTTGTCAAGGTTATAAACAGTGTTAGATTAAAAAAAAAGGAAAACAAACACAACTAATTGGTTTTCCCTATAGCTCTCTCTCCTTTAGATCAGTTGTGATATTTTTTTCTCCAAATTTGTTACTAGCATTTTTAGTGGAATAAGGTTTGAGCTGGATCATACTAAACTCAGATTTCATGAGAAACTGGAAAAATAACTAAGAGCAAGCATAAAAACCCCCAGCACTCAATCCTCTATTCATCTTGATCCATGTACATGATACATTAATGCTTATTATTTATTTAAATGCTTCAAATAGGCTTGGAACCACAAAGGAAGATTGTCTGCCTTGTGAAGTCTGAAATATAAAAGACCGTCCCACTGAGAGCTGTATTTGAAAGCCCAGAGAAAAAGGAAAACAGAGGATTTAGATATATTCAGACCATAAATATGCTGTTTTTCTGGGTAGCATGGAAGGAAATGTCTTGAGGAATTGGAATTAGCATGTAGTGATGGTTTAGAGAAAGAGAGCGGGATGGTGTCCTGCTTCATCACTTGGGCTGTTCCCTGTGCGGACACGTCCTCCCCCCTCCAACCCTCCCCACCAGAATCCCTCGTGGTTTCCACCTGATGCATCACCTTGCTTTCAGCACTGAAACCAACTCCCAGGTTCTCAGAGAACTAGTTTTGTGCAGGCTTCACACCACCCTGCACGACAGAGAGATGTTTCCTGTAAACATTGACTCCCGTCATTTCACTGTTTTCCTTAAAATCCCTTCTGATGCTCCTTGCCTTTATTCTGTGCTGTTCTCTGCAGTGTCTATACCAGACCTCTACCGGTGTAGAGAGGTTGCTGTTGTCTCCTGTCACTTTGTGTTTATTGTCTCTTTGCTGTTTTCATTTTCTATACTGTAGAAAAAGGTGCTGCTGGGTAGGGATGATATATCATTTTTCGGTGTGTGCATGGTACCTGTTGCAGTGGGATTTGTCTCTGTGACTGAGCTGCCTTAAAGTTATCATAGAAGAGTTACCTGAAATGTCACACTGGTTAGGATGGGGTGGGAAAGCTGCAAAGGAATGGATCTGCTGAGAAGTGTTCATAGACTCTTCTGCTGTTCATAAAGAGGTGAACATGGGATGTAATGGAACGTGAGGCTCATATTCTGTGAGACAGAACTGTATTGTGTTTGCAGTCAGTGATGAGAAATTTAGAGATGAGATGGTGGGAAGAGGGATTTTGGGGCATTTAAGGAGGCGGAGGGTTTACATGTTCAACAACAGGCTTGAGAAGGGGTTTGAATGATTTCCTTTACGCGTGCGTTTTGTAGAAAGGTCAGTGTCATAATGAAGGATGTTAAGGAGAAAGGAATTTTGATCAAAAGACATGCAATTTTTAGGGCTTGGATAAAACAGTTTTTAAAATAGGTTAGAAGCAGTGCTATGCAGGCTCAGATAAGAGAGATGGGGAACGTGAGATCAGGCATCAAAGGTGATCCTGAAGAGTGGATGATTTTCTCTGTGACAAAGTACATGGTAGTGCTGTCTATTGAAATAGGGAATAAGAGAAGGAGGGATTTGAAACATTAATAATAGTTTTCAGTTCCTAGCTTGAAGGCAGGATCCTGCAGATTTTTTTGAGTTTTCATTTTTTTTTAATGACTGGCTGGACTGGGAAAAGCTGGAGTATATTCAGGGAGAAGATACTGAGTCGACAGGAAGCAAATAGCTTGAACTGTTAATTAGCTGGTAATAGACAGATCGTTTGTGCTCAGCCTCTGTCTTTTTTCCCCTTGTATTACAGGCCAACAACAAACCAGAGATCGAAGCAGCCCTCTTCCTGGACTGGATGAGGCTGGAACCTCAGTCCATGGTGTGGCTGCCCGTCCTGCACAGGGTGGCTGCTGCCGAGACTGCCAAACACCAGGCAAAGTGTAACATCTGTAAGGAGTGCCCCATTATTGGATTCAGGTATAAACTCGCTCGCTTCAGCCATGTATTCTCCTACTTGGTGGATCAAGAGCTCTGCTTGATTCCAGGGAAACCATGCGCTTGATTTTATCCATATTGTTCCTGGAAAAAATAATTGTGATGTGGACATGAGGCAGAGTGACACCTAGACTCTAGATGTGAGAGCTGAGGAGGACAAAAATCATCTCTCGGTTAAGATATGGCCCTTCCTCTGTGTCCCAGTCTTTCCATGCCTCGACCAAAATGATCATTGGATTGCACAACTAATACAATTTGCATTGCATTCAGTGTGTCCTATGCATGCAGTTGCGTTTTCTGAATTGGATCCTAATGAATTGCTTTCTGTCATGGCATAAAGCAGGGAAGTCCCTTGAAAATTCTCAGACATGTAAAGCTACCTGTGCGTTTCTCAGAGAAAGAATGTTGGTGGTGGAACATTAACCTGGAGTGGGGGAAATGTTGCTGGTCCGTTTAAACATCTGGATTGACACCGTGGTTACTATGGCAATGAATAAGTCACTGTGTTGTTAAATGGCTGTGTGTTGGTATGCCTGTTGAGAATCCACTTAAGGACTAAGTAAATACTCACTTTCAATTATGCCTGGACTTGTTTTATCACTTTGCTTTGCAATAGCTGCTTTGTACGTTTTCTGTCCTTTTTATGCACAGTCTTCTTTTAACATTTGCGTTTCTCCTTCTGTGTTATCATGTTGTTTACAAAGAGCTTTCAGTAATTTTGTTTCTAAAACCCAGACAGATAACAGCAGCAAGCCGTGCTACACAGAAAAGCCATCATTTTCCTCTGACCTGGGAGAGTATGAATGTTGCTTTTATGCATGTAGTGGGGCAGTGCTTTCTGCTATGCAGTTTCACAGGCAGTGGGAAACAGGGGAACTAATGAAGGTATTGCTTTGTTTTGAATCTGGGCTTTTCTACACTGAGGCTGTTCCCCTAATCATCTTAATTCTTCTCCCTCTTCTTTTATTCCTCTTGAATATCTTAACTGGGAAATGATAAATATTACCGAGGAAGAGCTATGCATTGGATGTGAGTAATTCAACACATCCACAAAGTCTAATTTTCCTGCTCCCAGATACACTGTATGAACTACTGTATTACTTACACGGTTTTGTATAAACCAGCCAAAGACAAGTAGGTGGAATTGAAAAATGCGGCACTTGGAAAAATCAAAGGATGGCAAGTGAATGGATAGTCTGTTGTAGGCATCAGAAACTCAGGAGGCGGACACTGGATCTCTGTGTTTGCGTCTCGTTTTACTTGACTGATCTCATCTGTCTCTTAAATTTATATAACAAATCTATTATCATGGTAGTAGAATCTGTCTGTCACAGATTTTTTCTCTGTCTTTGCAAGTCATTGAAACTCTGTGTACACACTTGACAAAAAGATACTGTATCGGGAGGCTTTTAGAAAGCTAATACTGTGCGCTCAGTACATGTAAAACAATGTTCTTTTGAGGTCGTTGTGGCTGAACTGCTTCGTGTATTTGGAACAAGACAATCCTTATGCCTCCGGCTCTTTCAAGCACTTCAGCACAGCAGATACAACAGTTAGCTGCCTCATAGAGCTGATGAGATTAAGTAATGGCCCAAAAGTGCATTTGGAGTTTTGCACGGATGGAATGCTCTGCAGGAAAATTGTTTTTATAGAGGTGCTAGGAAGGACACAAGGGGGTTACCGGAGTGACTTACTTGAGAGAGCATTACTTTCTGGAATTTTCCTCCGTGAGGACATTCTGTGCTAGGAATCATGATGAAGAGCAAAAGATCTGAAGTTAGTGTTATAAAAAGTGTGGTGTCGCTCGTATGTTAAAGGAGAGTGATTTTTTAGAAATCTTCACTGTTGCCCAATGTTAGAAATTTTTTTGAAGATTCAGACCTTTGACAAACATCTGAGGCAGCAGTACCTGTCCCTCAGGGGCGGAGGAGCATTCCTGGGCTTTGCACACCGTGTGACATCTCAGGGAAGAGAACTCACTAACACAGAAAACTTGACAGGCTGATACGAAGCAGTCACATACAAAGCTCTGAAGTTGTGAAATTTCTTTTATCCTCTTTCAGGTACAGAAGTTTAAAGCACTTTAACTATGACATCTGCCAAAGTTGCTTCTTCTCTGGCCGTGTTGCAAAAGGTCACAAAATGCACTATCCAATGGTGGAATACTGCACACCAGTAAGTAGCTGTTTTACTGACCCTTACTATCCCTTCTTACCTAGAAAGGAAAAACTTCATTTCCTATGCACAAGGTAATGAAGCATTTGGGTGACTTTTCTTGCTTCTCCCATATTTAAATCACTTTTTATATACTGTACATGCCAACAATTTCTGATGCTTAGTAAAGGATATGCCAATGGTTTGAAGTAAATTGAAGTTCACTATTTGTACAATTCTGTGTTGTAGTGTATTCTTGTGTGCTAGTGACTTGTTCCATGTTAAGTGCTATAGTTCACCTTATGGATCTGGCCAGAAGCCCGTGATTTGTGCAAATACTCATTCATATCTTAGGTTTCAATGTTTTCTCCATATCAATGTGTGATTTTCCTTCCTCTCCTCAGCAAGTTGCTGCTTCACTTGCTTTCCCACAGAACACTGTGGTTGCATTTTCAAGTTCTTTACTATTTAGTAGTACCTTTGTATTGTATGATCTCTTGATGGTATAAAATAGCAGGGAAGTTCTCAACGTAGCAAGCTGGGTTTAATTTCTGGGGGCAGAAGTTTAATGCAGCACAGTGCAGGTTTGCTGCAGTGATGGTGTGGTGAGGGTCTTCAGCCTTCTTGCACAGCTCTCAAAAGGATCATTTTTGCGTAAACATTTCTTTCATACCAGGCAGCTGGCAAAGGAAATTCTGTATTCCCCTCTCAGTGTGCTCCTTTTTCTTTTTGGCCACTCCTGACCGGTGTGGAGGGGCATAAATTAGAGGCTCTCTCCAGTTATTGTTCCACCATGTAGTACGACTGAGCTTTCAGCTACCCTTGCCATTGTTTATGGTGGTCTTGAAGCAGTGCACTCTCTGGTTGGCATTTCCTGGTGAGATGGGACAATTCCTAGTTGTGTACTTTCATCTACTGGTCAAATATAAATGGTGAAAGTAAAGCATCAAAATTATACATGGGCTAGCCTTATAAAATTATATGAATGGTCTTTACATCTTCATCCAGGCAAAAAGGAATGGCCAAAATGAAGTAAAGACTCTCAGCTTTTCTTAGAGACAGAAAAGAGAAAAAAAAATTATTCTCCTAAAATATAAAGCTAGCCAGTATTTTTGTTAGTTTTCATTTATGGATAGTTATTTACATTATCTGTCAACTTCTACTGTAGCATTTCAATTGGCAGTATTTCACCTGAACCTCTGCAAAGGCACTAAAACACAATTGCTGGTGCTTTGTCAGTATTCCTTGGCTGTGGTTTTCAGTGTCGTGCCCCAGGGATTGAGGTTACTGAAAAGGGTGATTTACCTGAACTGCTGCACAAGTCAGAGGTAGTTGCTGGCGCTGCCCGGGCAGGTCTGAACAGACTTCTCCATTGCAGGAATTCCTAGAGCAGAATCTCATGATCTGAGTTGCAGGCAGAGTGAGCGAGCGACTGACCGCCTTGGAGCGTTCCTTCCACCTCCTTGCTGAACTGACTGCGAGTTTGCTCTGCACTTTGCCACTCTTATTTTTGCTAATAAGAAATATGGGAGATTAGTGAATGGTGCACAGAGTGCAGAAAACAGGATCTCCCAACTGTTTTCTTAACCTGTTGATGTGTTTTGAGGAAAGAGAAATGAAAAAGAGAATTATGAGACACACCCCCAGCCTGCAGCAACTCATTGCAACACAGTGTCCGGCAGGTTTATGTTCTCCCTAAAAGTGCAGATTACTAATAGGAGAAAACGGTGGTGAACAGAAAACCTGCCATGGCATCCAGTTTGCTGGATCAGAATAAAGAACCATTCACAACCAGTACATTTTTTTGTGAATCCTGAACTCCAACAGCCCGTGCTAATGTGCTGTGCCTGGCTGCACCAGCAGCCAGTTGAGTTAAAGAAGGATTAACTTGAGAGTGGGGGAGGGAAGTGAATGTGACACACAGCAAGCCCCATTCTTTTTTATGTTGCTGCTATTAAAAATATTAACCCAAATACTGGGAGATTGAACAAAACATCTGCTGAAGCTATCATGTCTAGAATGTAATTGTTTCCTAAATAAATGAAAAAGGGTTTGCATGTACATGCTGGAACATTTTTTCGTCTTCCTTCAGACTAATCTCTCACCTTAAAATGCATTTTGGCAGACATAAGATATGTGATGCCTTTTTTGATACTATCTTTGCAATAGTTAGATGAGGACAATCAAGTGTTTTGATATTTTTATTCTCCCTCCCTCTTACTTTCAGAAATTTTCAAGCTCTGCAGTCTTTAATTCTGCTTTGATTTGAGAACTCATGCAAAATATATGAGGAAGGTGATAACTTTTCCTCTCCCACAAAAGGTTGAGGCAGAATAAGGGCAAGGTAGTTGCCTAAATTTTCATTTAGACAGAAAAATTCCAACAATTATTCCTGAAAGCAACACAGCTCAATTTATTGTTGAGATGTGACTTTTAAAGAGGTTTCAAATAAAGCATAGAAGACAACTTATAGACTGGGATGTAAATGTAGGATTATTTTTCTGTTTGGGTTTAATGAACAGTGACACATAAGCATAAAAAACACCTTGTTAGAAGGAAGCATATCAAACTGATATACCTGTCTACAGCTAATGTTTAAAGTCAGGGCTGAGATCTGGGGTTGGGTTTGTCAAGGCACTTCTTAAACCAAACTGGGAAAAGTCAGATGGTAGTAAAGTTATTCCTATGTGAATAAAAAGAACTATTTCTTATGAAATAGTCTTGGTTTCAGAGTAGTTTTGGAACATGCTCAGCTCAACTACCTATATGTTGCTTTGATTTAAGACAGCTGGGATGTTGAAACCCCACTGTTTCTTCTTCATAAACCGGTTCTGCTGAGAAATTTTGTTTGGGTGATTTTACTCTGAAAATCATATGTAATAAAACATCCGTGCAGTAAATCAGAAAGTTTGGCTGCAAATAGCCTCAGTTTATCATCCTGTACACATAATAATCATCACATTTTCTTTGCCTTTCTTGTGCTCCTCAAACATTTTTTAAATGACAGTTGGATAGTATGATTGGTGCCTGATGCTTGTAGTTGTCACTAGAAGACGTATTTTCTTCTTGGGATTCTTGTGATACCAGATAGGTCAGGATGTTTCTGTGTAAACACAGTGTTTTACTGTGTGGTTGTCATGCATAAGGTTCGGGGGAGTGAGGGGGGAATAACAGTCCTAGGAAGGTTGAAGCAAGGAATATTTTGTTGTTAGCCATACCTGAAAACACTTAATCGAAATTACAGTCAAATGCAATAAAAAGTGTTCACAACACTGAAAATAGGCAAGGCATGAATAAATGGTTATAAATGCCACAGGTGAACAAACTGGACAGAAAGCTGTGCTTAATCCATTTATACCAAGACTAAATATTAAAAGTTTTGCTCTGTGTGGTCTACTGATGACATTGCAGATGGAATTCAGCAGAGGGAATTCCCTCCTGCTGGGGGGGGGGGAGCAGAACATCACCTCAGTGAATCCCCTTTCCAGAGTCCTCTAAGTGGTCTGGCCACACTTAATCCCTCCCTTCCCCAAATGTCTTTAATTCTGATGTATTAAGGAAGTGACACTTAATATTATCAAACATTATCTCAGTTTCTTGAAAATACAGGTGTATTGGCTTGTAGATTCTGTTGTGTCACTTCTCTACCCGTTATTGCTTACACTGAATTGTTCTGCCAGACAGACTTTCCAGCTTTACGTGAAGCTCATAGGTGTCATAAGTACAGGGATAATATTTGTCTTTTCTGTTAATGCTTTTCAGTCTTTCTTCAGATTATTTTTCAGGGCATCCTTAATTTTTCTACCTGGGCAGTTCTTAAAAATCTATATGTTTGTGTTTGAGCAACTCTGTCAGGGTTGGCTTGACTGATAGGTCTCAGAACCTCCTTCCACTCTAAGCAGAAGGCATGGAACTCATTAAAAATGTCAGAAAGATTGACTTTTCCCTCATTTCTTTCCTTTAAAGTAGATACACTAGAGAAGCAATGTTGTTATGTGGGTCAAGAAGAACTTAATTTACTGTAAAAGAGCAGTATTTCAGGGTCTAGTTTCTGCAAGGTGGAGAGAAGGGAGTGCAGCCTGACTAAGGTAATTGAAGTCTTACATTAAAATTCATCAGAAAATTGCCCGACTCTTCATCAGGCTCTCAATAAATCTTACATCTTCCCAGCAGACATCCTTTGAACTCTTTCTGACTCGTTCTGGTCTTTAGGAAACTAATTCTGCTTTGCACTCCTCTGCTGGTCTCTACAGCAGCAAGGAAAGCTGCTGCAGGCAAGGGAGTAGAATACTTCATGCAAAATGTGGTCTCCTTGGAGTTTAAATGCCTGATAGCTTCAGATGGAACAGGTGCAGGAAGAAACAACTGATCTAAGAGCTTTCAGCAGCTCTCACCTGCTTTTTGTTTCTCTTTGATCAAAATACTAATGGTGGAGGAGGCTGAGAAGGGAGACTAGAAAGAAAATGTACCAGGAGACTTTCGTGGACTGACAAGTCCATGAGATGTGTTAAGAGTCGGGATCCAGCCAGTGAAGCACCAGACTGGACACACGAACTGGCCGTGTGTCTTCCCCTACAGCCATTTTAGTGCTGAACGAAAAGCAGACAGAGAGTCCCTGGAGCCAGATGAGGAAATGACAAATTCTTGTCTAATGATTATCTTGAGATCACCGAAGGTGAGGCATGAGCCAGTCAGGGAGTTTTGGAGCTTCCTCCCTTTTCCTCCTTCCTTCCTGCTAGCAGTGTGGCTGTGTAAGGTGACGGTGATAGACAAAATTCGCAGTTCTGGGGCTTGAGCCGTTGGCGGCTCTGCTTTGTGTGACCACAGCTCTTCCAAGTGACCCAGCAAAGGAAGAGGCAACTGAAAAACAGTGATAACCTCATGAAAGATGATTTCATTGTGATTTGTGGCTTTCAGACAACTTCAGGAGAAGACGTCCGTGACTTTGCCAAGGTACTAAAAAACAAATTTCGAACAAAAAGATATTTTGCAAAGCACCCACGAATGGGCTACCTGCCTGTGCAAACTGTCTTGGAGGGAGACAACATGGAAACGTGAGTAGCTCTGAAGTATCTAAATAGCAGTTCATTTGGTACACTATTTGAGCTCCCCAGCTGGTGCCAACTCCTTTCACTTCCTAAATGCATAAAGCCTCTTTATGTCTTTCATTTCTGTTTACCTTGGCTGGCAGGAAAACACAAGCTGGGCTTCCAGTTGCCATTGCCTTTATCTGCTTTCACCTGTCCTTATGCAACAACTTCAGCTTCAGTTAGTAAAAGAAAAATACTCATGATCTTACTGACAGTCTTATGAACGTCTGAATTTGATACGCAATTTGGAGACTAATGTTATCTTCATTAAATTTTTATTTTCTTCCAAATGGGTATCTTTGCTTGGTTTTATTTTTTTAATTAGGCTATTGTGTCTGTGAGCTTCCCAGATGATTTCTTCTTTTTTTCAGCCTATAAATTTAGTCTTATTAAATGGCTTTGAAGATTTTTGTGGGGAAAAAAAGCAGTAATGATGCACATGGAGAAATCAATGTGTTAACCCCATTCCCTTTGGTTTTTTTACCAGTTTATTCAGTTGTTTAATGGCAATTGCACACAGCTTGTTCTCGCTCTCTTTTTCTTTCTCTTTTTAAATTTTAAATTTCAATTTTTTTCCCTCACTTTTTGGTTGGTTGCTCTTCACAGCCATTCATGTTGGTCTGTTGGATTTCTGCTTTTTAGTTGTTGTGATTTTTTTTTTTTTTAAACCTTTCTGTAATTATTTTGCTGCTGAGTTTCTTCTGCCTCTCTCTTCACCTCCTCATTTTTTGTCTTGCAGTCCTGTTACTCTGATCAACTTCTGGCCAGTAGATTCTGCGTGAGTACTTTTGCTGAAGTGTGCTGCTGCTGCTACTGCTGCTGCGCTCCCTCACTTTTTTTTTTTTTTGGTTTCTTTGTTTAGTTTTACATATGATTATTTTTCCTTCTTTCTTTATGACTGTTTCCTTTGATGCACTCTGAAGGAATGTTTTGATCCCAAAAGAGTAGAATGGGATAAATCCTGGAATTTCCAGCAATCACGGATTGTGTACTGTGTACTCTTTCTGGAGTGTGTATTTTCGTCGAATTAACAGGGATTTTGTGCAGACCTACTAATGCTTATGAACGTTTGTCATTTAAAAGCCTGTGTTTCCGAACAAGTGTTGATCCCTCTGAATGTATACTGAATCTTTTTGAAGGACAGAGTTTGAACTTGATGGATTTAATTCAGTTTCAGGAATGACATCATTTTGTAGATAAAGCTGTAATTTGGTTTTAAGTGCAACTGCACACACTCGCACACTCAAGTGCCCCAGTTAATCCGAAGCTCACTGGGTATTTTATTAGTCTTTTAGATACAATCAGATTTGTGAAGGCAGGTTGAAATGGGGAAATGTTCACTGTATTTTTTCAGAAGTTAAAAAAAGCAGGGTTTTTCAGCTCTGAAACAGATTTTCTTTCTTGCACCACTCCTGCACGTGCATTGTCTTACTGTTGTAGTAATAGCCTTAGCAGAAACTAAAGATATTATATGCTTGCCATTGTGGCATTTGCTACTTCATGTGTTACATGGATGATTCTAGAATAATGTTAAATAAGCATTAATTTTAATTTACATATTGATAACTAATGAGAAAGTAGTAATAAATAGAATTTTATATATTTCTATATGGTGAAATGTATATGGCTTGCACCTCCATTGAATTTTTTGTAGAATAAACAAGAGTGAAATGTATACATTGGAATACTGATTTATAATTTTCATTTGGAGCACAAACCATTGGGAGGTCAAGAAGTGCTCTACGTCTAGGAAATTTAAGCAATGAAGAAGCACATCCAGCACAGCAAACCTTATACAGTTGAGGATTCACCCACAGAAAAGGCCAAAAGGCTGGAGCCAGGCTGAAATAGATTGGCTTTGAGCTTCAGTATGCACTTTAGCTTTGAATGCAACTGGGGATCTATGTTTCTTAACCTTTAAAACAATTGCAAAGTTAAAAGTAACATTTAGAGAAAGCTTGGATCATATGGAAATAACACTGCTATGTCTGACATAACATGAAACTTAACTGTCATAACATGCTTAATTCTAGTTACTTACAGTAATAACCTCATGGTATGCCTACACCAATGGCTTCACATCACAGGTTTGGTGGTGTGTACTACAGGGAGTTTAACTCCTCTGTGATACTTAAGAAAACTTGAGAGAAATACTGAGAAGCAGGATTTGTACACAGGGGTTGCACCTTTTGTCAGACCAAATTAGGTATCTTCCAGAGCACAGTCCTTTCGTCTGGTGTGACAAGAAAGCAGAAAAATAAGAAACTAATAGTGGCTGGAAAGAAGTGCTCTTTATTTTGTTCTGCTAACTTTGTTCCTTTCCTTCGTGCTGTAGCACTTGGCTTACAACTCAAGTTACTAAGCTACCCAGGTTTAAAGCTGTTTCTTGGTTACAGGGCTAATTCCAGCTTCAACAATCAAACCAGTTATCGTAAAACTTTCCTCTGATTTCTACTCTTGTGCCTTTTTCTGGTGCTCTCATGCCAGCTTTCTGGTTATCTTTGAAGCACTTCGGAACAGCATCACCTGGCAGCACTCAGCAATGCTAGTGCTATCCTGAAATCAACATATGGTATACATGGACCTGTTTATAAATAGGGGGTTTTGTTGGAATTTAGTGGTTCTGACTGCTTATTATGCAGTATTTTGCACAGATACTCTGCTTTCCAGGCATTAAAGGGACAACTCACAAGCTGTGAGAATTTGTGTCTTTTTACTTGAAGGGTGATTGTCAGTGATACAAATACATTTTACTTGATTCTGCACTTTCAAAAAACATTAACTAAAATGCTGAACAGCAAAGAAAAGTGCACTTGTCCTGCCAGCCAGATCTCTGGGGGTGCAGGGGATTGCAGGAGGTGGTATTTGCCACTTGGTCACCACTTGACTTGACTAGAATTCCCAGGCTGTTCCTGCAGAGGCCAGCTTGAGCAATGCAGCTGTGGAGCCCTTGTAAAAGGGATGGTTATCTTGGCTAAATATTGGCTGTGTCACTCAGCCTTCGTGCTGACTGTTGGAGCTGATTAGGTGTGCTGGGTATGTGTGCTCAGAGAGGAAGGACTCTGAGCTCTAGCGCAGGTGGTCACTGAGTATGTACAGTGCAGCACAGTTGTTCTCAGGCTTGCTCAGATACTGGCAAAAGTTTACCTCTGAGCAGCTGAATTCGACACAAAGCAGTACTTCTCTAATAAGTTTGCTTTCTCGAGCAAACTTTTTAAAAACCGTTTGAGGTAGATCTCCATTGCAGTATGTTCTGAGGTGGAGACAAACCTGGAAATGTAGCCTCACCCCCTGCCTGCGGCCGGCAGAGAGAATCACCTTCAAGAACTTACACAACATTGGGTTGTCTTAAAAAAATATATATATATATAGCATAACTTGGTCATTTCTGAAGTTGAAGCATAGTTTCAAGGCAGCAAGGATGTGTTCGTGCAGTCAGGCCTGTCTTCATTGTCCAGTAGGTCCCAACCAAGTGCTGTCCATTCCTTCATGCTGGTACAAATACATATGCAATGCCAGTGTGAGAGAAGGACTAAGAGAATGATGCAGCTCAAAACTATAACTACTTTTAAGACAGATTTCCTAGTCTATGCACAGTATTAGCAGCAACATTTGTGTATATGTTGAAAATAAGACCTTTCATTGATGGTACCAATTTAGACCAGCTTAATATCTGCTGTATGACAAACAAAAAAATTAAAACACCATCAGTTTATGAGAAAATCATTGTTATCTTGCTGCATAATCCACTGCTCTAAAGAAATTGCATCCTTTCCCCCTCCCTTCCCTTCAGCGTACATGTTCTTACACAAAATAGGATATCCAGTTGCAGAGAAGCCATTGACCATCCAAGCAAATCTCTGCTGCACTGAGGAACTCTGTGAACTGAGTATTTGTCCTCTGGTGTGCTGCAGTAATGTTTGAACATGTGGTGGGTAAAAGCACAGTTGGAGGACAAAGCACATTTCACACAAAGTGAGATTTGTGATACTTGACCATGTCTTGAAGAGGAAAAACTTTGCTGTCCTGTGAGAAGAGACATTAATGATGATGAATTTTGTGTATCCAGCATACGGCTCTATGAATTCAGGACCCTGAACTAGAGCCCTTTGCAGGCTGATTAGAAACCTGGAGCTGACCAGTCTAGATTTATGGCAGGATTGTCAAACTCCTAACATGGGAGCGTTACAAATCAGAAGATTATTATAGTTTTGGTTTATAACCAGTAACTACAAAACTCACCCAGTTATGCAATGCAGTTGCCACTGTTGGGCACCCCCAACCTGAATCACAGTTTCCAACAGTATAAAGTGTGGCGAAACTCCTCCCTCAGTCTGGAGTTCCAGAAGGAAAGTCGGCAGAGATGGAATAAAGAGCAGTTGAAATTTAGCTAAAATGTGAAAATTGCCATACAGTTTGTGAAGCTGCATCATTTTTTGTTATTTCAGCACATCCTGATAAGTGTAAATGGGCAAAATCTCACATGGCAGCAAAGGGTGCTCTCTGAACTGCATAGGCAACGTAATTTAATGTTGACGTTTTCCAGAGTTGAGGCTGTAAGAAACAATGCTCTGATGAGAAAAGTCCCATGAATTGTTTTCATGCACAAAAAAAGTGAGGAGGACCTCATACCATCTGATTTGTCAGGCAGAAACCCCAAAATAATTGACAGTGTCCCCCTGTATAACACACTGATCTACAGTTCAAATGGCAACTGGAAAGACACCAGGCAAAATCGTCAGTGCCTGCAGTGTGTTATTAAAGGCTCATTTCAGACATTGTATGTTTCTTGTATTAACTTCTAGCTGCTCGTGGAGTAATCCTTAAAGGCTCTTTTAAGTGTGATGTGCTGGAAGCAGGCACTGGAGCAGGGTGGGAGGTAGAGGAGAGGTTCCCAGCAGGACTTTGGCAGCTGGTGCAGGGCTGCACGTGAAGCAGAATAGCCAATGAAGGAGGCAGGTGCGAAGGGTAAAGCAGGGTGAAAGCTCTTCTATAAATCCTTTGGAAAAGGTTTCTTCGGGAGCTGGTGTGAAGAAGAGTCGTGACAGCAGACGGATTGCAAAATGGTCAGAATCCCTGGTGTGGTACCACGGAACATTGCACCGATGGCTTGAGGAGGCACACACAGCGCCTGGAGTTAAAACTTGCTGTTTATCAAACATAGCATAAGGCATAGAGATGTGAGAGTATAGGCATAGCTAAGTGTCTTTTTACTTTTAAAGGGGTATTGTTTGTGATTAATCAGTGTTTTCTGCCTTATAGGCCTGCCTCGTCCCCTCAGCTCTCACACGATGATACTCATTCACGCATTGAACATTATGCTAGCAGGTATGAGACCAGCTGGATGCTAGGCAGATCTTTCTATAAAAAATAATTAAAAGAAAAAAAAAACCAAGGGCTAGCAGCTACCTGAGCACTTCTTAAAGAACACAGAATTTGGGGGTTTGCTTTCCAGGCTCTGGGATGCAGAGCGTTGTCTTTGGTTGCTACTAACCAGCCTGTCCTAACCTGCATGCCAGAGGTTGTGTGGTCAGAAGTGGCCTTTAGGTTCTGTGGGGTCATCATTAAGCTGGGCACTCAGTTACTGACTTTTTAATAGGAACTGTAGCGATAGGACAAGGGGTAATGTTTTAAACTAAAAGAGTGTAGATTCAGACTAAATATAAGGAAGAAACTTTTACAATGAGGGTAGTGAGGCACTGGAGCAGGTTCTCCAGAGAGGTGGTGGATGCCCCATCCCTCGAAACATTCAGGGTGAGATTGGATGGGGCTCTGAGCCCCCTGGTCTAGTTGAAGATGTCCTTGCTCATTGCAGGGGGGTTGGACTAGATGACCTTTAAAAGTCCCTTCCAACCCAAACCATTCTATGATTCTGCATAGGGTTTTGTTTTTCATAAGGACCGTGGTGTAATTGAACAAATGAGAATAGCAAAACCCTCCAAAGTCTTATACGAATCTCAAGTGTCATTATAATGTTAAGTAATTCATCTCATGAAATACCACAAACAGGATTTTTCCTTGATTTGGAGGATTAAAGTAGTGTTATATCGCTGCTTTACTTCACTTACTTCTCTGCTTTCATACTGCTCTTAAGAATCAAGAAGTGGGTCAATTGTGCAAAAATGAAAATGTTTTTCCACCAAGCAAGTAAATTCTGCAAGGTATTTTCATTGAGGTAATGAAAAATGGTTATTCCAGCCTTCTCTTTCTCTCCCCCAATATCACTTAATCAGGGGAGGTGTTTCTGAATTGTGCAGGATGTTTAGGAGGGGCTGAGTGTGAAAACCACTGAGAAATGATCATTAGTTCTGATGATGATATTGCCAGGTAGAAAGCAATTTGTGTAATCCCCTGGCATCTTAAGCTTGTCTTTGATTGTGGAATTAATTAAGAGGAGTGGAATATAAACTTAGATGTGAGTTTAGCCCGGTCACTGTAACCAACAAACAATCCTTTGCGATAGCTTATTGCAAAACTTTTTGGTAATCAACAGTGAGTGTAAATTAATTTGAGTTTCAAATTCATCAAAAACATCACGCTCTTTAATTCTTTCCAGAATGTTAGAGCAGATGAAGTTTCTGGAAAACATAATTGGTTTTAATGAGTCTTGTTTATTTTTCCACAGGCTAGCAGAAATGGAGAACACCAATGGTTCTTATCTAAATGACAGTATTTCACCTAATGAGAGCATGTAAGTAGGCTGTTTTACTGGTTTTGACATGTATTTTCTTGGGAAGGTTATTAACTTGTAATGAAATTTTGTAGTGCTGAATTTGCCTGGCCAGGTACCACATGTGGTTCAATTTAACGATGATCTCATGTCCTTTCAATTTGTATCATAGTGCCTAGATTTATGGCTTATAGCTTAATACCAAATTTATACAACAGATTATTGATACCTTCAAAATTAAAATTACTAATTTCCTTCAAAAATTACTGATTTATTCAGCAAATAGTTTCCTTATTACTAGGAAAAAGTACTCATCATCTGATGTTTTTTAAGGACAAATATAAAAAGAAAACCCTTTTATCTGTATTGCAAGGTTAGTCATGGTTAAATTGCTGTAAGCTAGAAAATGCTGATGTGGGCAAAGTGTCATTCCAAACATTACTGAGGCTAAACAGAAATCTTTAGTTTACAAATACCTGAAATACACTTCAAGTGTAAGCCAGGAGGGACTCATCCTCACTATGAAATATTAGAAGTAGTGAACTGTAAGTTGGACAGATCTCTGACAAGTACAATTCATTGTACTACTTCAAATGAAAGGTCATAAGTAAAAATTTTAAATTTTGAAAAGTAGTTAAATCTAATGTCACACCGAGACCTTTTTGTGGTTTTCTGACATGGTAATATATTCCTCCACTGATGATATTCTTGATCTTGTTTATTCTCGGAATGAAAGGACATAGAACTAGGAAACTAACTGTGAATAATGTTTCTGAAGACAGAAGTACCTAAGTCATTGGCATGTTTGAAAATTCAGACAGAATCTAAATTTGTAGCATTCCTTTAAAGCACAGTACTCTGGGAAGTTTTCATTTACTTAATCTGAGATTCCTAATCAGGATTTGAAGAGGTTGATTCTGAGCCCATGAGATGTTCTTGGATAGTGATAAAGCTGTTTCTTTGTTTCAGAATAGTTTCTCTCTTGACTTGGTAGAATTGTTGTCTGCCAGTTTTGAAAGAAAATCCTGTGTACAACCAAATACATTGTTCTAATATATTTGGTCAAAAAGGGGAAAGTTTAAAATGACACCACAAAACTGATATATATGTAATGTCAGTATAGTTTCATGCAGTTAATGAAAATCGTTTCCAAGTTGTATGTTAATTTTGTATTGTTATGAATAGTAGTAATGCTATCTATAGTAGGTGGAATTTTGTGTTGTCCATTGAAGTATTTCAATGTCCTTGTCACACAAGCCTTGTGTCCGCAGTACCTCTTGTATTACACTTTGGTCTTACTGTTCAGTTCATTCTTTGGTTAATTAGAAGTTGTATTAGTACGATTCAGTTAGCAAGTTAACCAATGACTATTCCGTTTGTTGCTCAGTTTGTACAATTAAAATGAGAACATATCTGTACATTTTGAATTTTGGAAGAAATATTATCCAGATAGATACAAATTGCAGCAAAATTAAAGCTTACCATGAATTTACAACTGTAATTCTTTCGGTTTTGTATGTCAGGTTATGCTGAAGTATTATTTGTTGCCATTCTTACAGGGTTTGGACTAATAAGTGCAGGTAGGGTGATAGATGGAGACAAGGAAGGTGGGAAATAAAAACATAGCACATATATATATATATATAAATCACAAAACATTTCCTTATGTAGTGTCAATGCAATTATGTATGAAAAATATGTGCAGGCTGAAAATCACAGAAAAAGAGTATGCTTGTAAAGTGACATTATATTGCAATAGTTATGCCACTTGTTCACTGTTAATTCACTTAAGATTCCTAAGAATATTTATAAATGCAAAGCAGTGGTTTGAAGGAAAGCACAGTTGAAGCATCTCATGAAAAGTATAAATTTAGGAACTGGCAAGCATTTCCTTCTGTGAAAAATTAATACTTCTCTTTTATGAACTCATGTTAATGTGCTCTATATTGCTTTGGCACTCCTGCAGTCATAAAATGGCATCATTAACATTTTCAGGAACAAATGGAAACAAGGAAAATTATAATTTTTTGACAATAACAGCTGTTCAAAATGCCTGTTAAATTCTGGTCTAGAAACATAACAGAAAAAAACTAGACTGAATTATTTTGTTAGACAAAATTTCCAACAGCGGTGTAATTTTTAATGTCCCTGTCTTGTAGTGTTAAGAGAAACTTTTCATGGTTTCTCACAGTTAATGCTGGTGCTAGTTGCATAGCTTAGGGCCTGGATGCATCTCCTTAGCACCTAAACCACACCTAAAACAATCCATGTAATTCTCGGAAGTGATCAGGGTCTTCAGAATTGCATTTACTTTTCTCTTGTGGAGATGTTTCTGTTTCAAATGCCAGACAGCTTCAGGAGCAGTAGAAATAAAGAAAGAGATCATACATGTTAACTCAAATATATTTGTATTCTGACAGTATACGTCACTTTTAATTTTAAAAAGAAACCCATCTGAGTGAAAAATAGCATATTTTTTTAGATTAGTTCAATATTTTTTTTTGTTTACCTCATTTACAATTTTATAGAGAAAAAAGATAAATACAGCACGTATTTATTACATAAGGAGAGTTTGTAGGTACAGAAATAAATGCATTGCCTTTGCTTGAATGACCCTTCCATGACACAGATCAAGCAGCAGAGGTTAGCTTTCTTTTTCAAGCAAGTTCATATTGAAGTTAGGCAGAAGAGGAAAGCTGAGGTTGTCAGCTGTTGCAAACTTGGCTTTAAATATCTGAGAAGCAGAGGAGGAGAAAGGTGGACTCTGCAGAGAAGGAAAATTGCCAGAGACTAAGTGAAACAGGTCAGCAGATTTTGCTTTAAGGTACATTGCTCTGCTGTTGGTTACAAAGAGTTCAGCAAATCTCTTTATAAGAAATGAAAGACTGGGAGTGAATCATCTCCTCATATTCACTGTGAAGTTAAAAAGAAGGAAGGGAACAGCATGTTTTATCCTTTCTCTCTTTTCCAGCGATGATGAACACTTGTTAATCCAGCACTACTGCCAAAGTCTGAACCAGGAGTCCCCACTGAGCCAGCCCCGAAGCCCTGCCCAGATCCTGATTTCTCTGGAGAGTGAGGAAAGAGGAGAACTGGAGAGAATCCTCGCAGACCTGGAGGAGGAAAACAGGTGGGTTACACCGCCAGATGCTGCATTTGAAGTAAAATATCTGTGAAATAATTACACTGTACACTTATATGGAATTCAGTTTGGTAGTATTAGTAGGGATAAAATTAGTTATAAGTTTGCATTTTCTCCCAACAAATAAATACTTTCAAACTTGGTAAAAGTTGGGTTCTCTTTTCTTTCTATTTGTTTGGTGTTGCTTTTTGCCATTTCTTTAGTCTTTCAATACCAAGTTTAATTTACTTCTAATTTCAAATTTAACTGAAGTTATCTTCATTAATCACCATAAAAACCCCCAACGGGATACTTAAGGCATCACAACACTGCAGACCTCTTTCTACAGTAGATTTGTAATTGCAACTGCTGACTACCAAAATCAGACTGTAAGATAGAAATCATGTAGTTCTACAAAAAAACATGGGTTTCTTTGGCTTCTGCTATCTTCAGCTTTTACAATACAGTCTAGAGGCATTTTTCTTGCTCTTTTTTTCTTGCTTCTTTAAGAGCTAGGTATTTCTGTTTACATTGAGGGTTTAATGCAGTAGTCATTTACCTCAGGCATGTCAAAGAAATAATGCAGGAGTTGGCAGTGTCATAGATCTTCTCTCCATGTATAAGTCTTCTTTGGATGGTGCTAATCAATTACAGTGGCTCCATCACAGACTTCTTATCAGAAGGATTTGGGAAAATGTAGAGGATCTGTAGGCATCAAGGATGAGGAAAGCTGTAGTAAACACAGCTCTTGCTCACTGAACAGCAGTGAGATTTTGTTTGAAACATACCACAAACTTCCTACTGCATAGCACATAAAACCCAAGTGGAGGAAAATCCGTATTTTGACATATCTGGTAACTAGTATAATACAGATAATAAGATAGCTTAGTTTTCAGGAGATGAGTGATATTTTTTCAACAGCATTATGTGGTGAATCATGGAAGAAGAAAAAACATAATGCTTTTCTGTCTGTATAAAAAATAAGCTGCCTACCAGAAAAGAGGATGACTTTTAAAGCAGCCTAGTATTAGATTAGAAAGGTAGCATATGAAAACTTAGTGTAACATGGAGCTAGATAGCTAAACAGGCTAAAAAATCCTTTTCAGGGTACCTTGAATTTCAGCATGGGCTTTATTTAATATAGCAGCTGCTGATGAGGAATAACATGGTAAAAGGTCTCTGACAGGAATTACACCTTAAAAATACCTGATTTGAAGTTTGCCAATCCTGGATTAAACAAGAGGTCTAGACTGTAAGCTTGGTTATAGCCTGTTGTTTTCTCATTTGTACTGCTGGAGGCACAGTTATGGAGGTGATGCCACCACAGGCAACCTCACCTTTTACAGGTGCTTCAGTTCTCAATACAGCAGGAACAGAGAGGTCTGTTTCTGTGGGAGTATGGAGGTCACACTGCTGTGATTTTCATTGATTATGACAAAATCATGACTTTTGTCTCTGCAAACTGCTATAAATAACTTGTACTTAAAAAGTAACATAGCTGCTGAAAAGCGAACAAGTTCTTGTTGTCCTGATAGCTTGTCACACCCAGATATCTGTGATTTTGTGGATTAAACACTGGTTCCTGTTCAGAAAAATAAGCTATTCAGACAGGGTCAGTCAGGAGCCATTCATGTAACTTACTTACATTTAAAAAAAACAGTCTTGTCCCTTTAGATTTCTATTTTCTAGTCATTCTCCTCCTTTGAGTTTGTGCTAACCTTTTTTGGTAGTTGCCAAAGTCTTTTGATAATGAAGATTTAGCTCTCTCTGCTGTACCTTGTAAGAGTCAGCACATGCAGTCACTTCTCAGCAGCTCCTGGGAAAGCTGCATCAAGTACCAACAAGAAGCAATACTGTGATATTCAGAGCACTTCATGTCATTTCTCTTTTTCTTCCACTCCTCATACTTTCCTGCTTTTCAAAAAAGCCCTTCTCTGTTTTGCTTCATCTCTTTTGAGCTGCTTATTGAATTGACCTCCATTTGGATTTCAGCTGCAGTTTCTCGTCTCCAAGTATTTCCATCTTGACTTGTTACTTAAATAAAAAAGACTCTTTGAAATTGTAATTCTGAGGTTTTGCTTTTGGACAGTTTAAAAAGCTCTGCTGCCTATTTTGAGCTCTTCTGAAATGGCATTATCTGACTTATAAACTAACCTAGCTGTGACATGGTTCTGACTGGGGGTTTTGTCAGTTCCAAGGACCTCTTGTTAGACATTCATTATTTATCTGCTAGCATTTTAAGACCTTGGTGCTTCTGTAGCTTGTAAGTATGACTTCATTAAATAATTTATGCCTAAGATTTGACTGCTAAATAATTTACATTTGTTAAAATGTGAGCATTTTAGAGAATATTTTCAATTGCTGAAAATGTTTCATTTGAGTTTTAGGCCTTCAGGCTTATGCTGAGTTTTGCATCACACAGCATGTTGTGATAAGAGCGTTTCTTGTGTATTCAATAGACCAAAGGTAATCTTGTTATGGAAGGCATTATTATTATATTGCAATAGAAAAGAAAAATCTAATTGTAAAGCCCTCTCAAAAACATTTTGAGATTTCCTTGCGTGAATGTATTTCAGAGACAGAGAAGACAGATTTTTGTTGTCCATCTAAAGCACTACATTCCATAGGTTAAGGGGTAGAATAGGTAGTACTGACTAGGATGTACTGCACTAGCATTAAAAAGAAAGCATGTGGTTTGTAGTGACAGAGACTCAGAACTTTTTGCAAAGAATTAAAATACTTCCCTGCTATTTTAAGGACTAAAGAAAGAGAATGTTTCCTAATATGTTAATTGAATCAAGGTCACTGACATACTTCTGTAAGAGAGAAACTTCTCTTGTGTTCTCTTTTCCTCCCAGCTCTTAGCTGTCTTGTAAGAAGAACTAAGTAAATGAGATCTCCAGCCAGAGCTATTTACCTTTCCTTTACTTTCCTGACTTGCACTGGGAACACATTGGGCTGTGTGCCTCCAGAGCAGCACTGACATCCCAAATCTCAAAGCTTCCCTGTTTTTGTGTAGCTATGGAATTCCTTCAAATCTGAAGACTGATGAATGGCCTCCTCAAATAAGTTCCTTCTGTATAGTTGCCAATAGCGAGAAAGTGATGCATTTCTAAACATGCTGTGGCTCCTTTTGGTATTTGTTTTGGCATTGAAGAAGGGGAACTAGATCCTCTGAGTGTGAAGCGTCATGAGTAAACATTGTCATCCTAGTGAGGGACAGGGGTAGGTGATTCAGTTACCAGCTTTGTCTGTTTCCTCAGACCACTGATTTTCTGTAGGGAGATGAGAAGTAACAAGAATTCACAAATTCTCAATTGCCTCTGAGAGGACTACTCAGCAAGTGGGGTCCACGAGGATTTCCGCCACCAGGCAATTAATGCTGCCAGTGATAGATGTGATTAATAATTCATGAGCTCTTTACTACCCAGCTCTTTACAGTTGCAGAAATCAAGGTTACACTGCATGCTTCCTCTGTTATTTTGCTTCATGAATGCCTCAAAGAGTTGCAGGCATCGTAAATGGAATATACGTGTTGGTTTTTTTTAATATTCTCTTACTGGAGAGGGGTTCATTTTCACAGTGATCAGAAGATGCGACAGCATTGTTTGTTTGTCACAGCCAGATGTAGAAGTCACCCAGCCTGAGCTATAGTGGAGGGAGGCTGGGTTTCCCAGGTACTGCCCACGATTGCTCAGTTGCATTCATTTAGAGAGGATTATGTTTTTATCTCCCCTTTCTCTTATGTCCCATTTTATGCTGAAAGTGTCAGAGGGCACCTTTCCTCCAGACACTGAGGGCTGTGGGCAGTGCTTTGGATGCCTCGCTCACAGCAGCAGTCCTTTTTCACCACACAGCTTAAAACTGTTCAGAGGTAGGAGTAAAAGCTAATTGTTCTCTCTTAGGATTTTCTTACAGCAGGTTCAGAAGTCTTTTATTATTTTCCAGCTTTTTGTCCCCTTTGTTAATCATCATTGCTGTGTGTTTAGATCCCAGTTATTATATTATTTATCATCTGCACTCCGCATCACTCCTATGGCTCTGAAGCTATGATGCATCTCAGTTCTCTGGACTAAGCACTGTGCAGCTGGACTGAAAAGGTGCAGCTGGAAAACTCACTGATACAGGTGCACTGGGCAAGCCCATAGGCATCCTTCAAAATGACATTCCTTTGTTCCAAAAATATTACAGCATTTAATTACAGAACTCTCAAATTCAGACATACCTCTGTTTAGATAATATGCAGTATCCTTTACATTACTCTTTTTTTCTGTAGGCTTTCAGAAAGATTTTTAAATTTTTTTTTTATCAGACATGAGGGCATTTTTATCTGAATTACTCCCCAGTTCTTACTTGTATTTCAGTATCATAGTTGCTGGAAGGACTTCTCTACATTGATAGAGGTGATAATGGCAGATTTCTTTGTAACAAGGTATCTGATTATGTTGTAAGTGTGACCAAGTGCATTTATTTAGTTGCCCTAAGGGTGATGTTTTATCTTTTGCTTTACAGCACTTCAGACTTTTGAGTCTGCTGTTTATAGACTATTGCCTGTATCGTACATTTGGGAAATTCCTCATGGGATGGTGATAGCCACTATCTACAGGCTTTGTGAAAAACACGCTTAATGATCAATCCTGTATAAGCTTTAGTCAGCAGTAAGGCTGTGTGTGATACTCTTGTCATGTTCATTCCTATTCCCTTTTGTATTTTTATTAATTATTCACCAGTGTGTTCAGCAAGAGGTATCAGAAGACATTAAGTCATGTGGAAGTCATAAACTTGTATGACTATATCTATATCCAGTACAGATAGCCCTTCTTTTTTTTCCAGATAATTTTCATGGACTCGTTAAAAAAATAACTTCATTTGAACAAACCCTATTCATAGTGTGGGTTTTAGAGAAGGAAATCTTGAATTTTTGAACAATCTGAAGTTAAGTACGATCATCCCCTTTTTTTGACCTTTTAAAACTTCTGCAGAGGAGGGGTCATGTAGGTCAGACATCCCTTAGAGATGTTTTGGGGTATGCCACAGTCCCAGGTTCAGACTCGTCCATTATGCAGCTGCTGAGGAGCACGGGGACATTTGAAGAACAGTCAGTAGCCTGTCCTTGTCCTTGGCATTGCTTTCTCACCCATGTGAATTGATGCGTACTGCTTTAGTTCTTTTCTTGGTCACAACAGCGTACCTTTAGAAGTGCTTCAGAGTTTAATGAAGTTTACTGGGAGGTTTCTGAGGTGCTATTAAGCTTCCAGACCAAACTGTCAGTGTGCATTGTGGTTTGCAGGCAGAACTGGCAAAAGGTGCCTTTTCTCACAACCTCAAATAAGAGCGAGTTGGAAAAATTAAAATCTGGGTCACTGCTTGTGATGAGTAAGCAGTTACCAGAGCATTGAGCTGCTTTTCCCCCCTCTGGGAAGCTGTAGAGGAACATCACAGCAACAAAATCCCAGTGCAGTTTGTTAGGCCTCCCTTGCTTATGAAGTTTCTGCTACAAGTTATTTTTTTTGCAGCTTTGGACTGTGTTATCCCTAACAAGGTTTCACTTTCTTACCTTACATGCTCTTCCTGCTTGTTAGGTTTTTTTTTATGTGGACTGCTATAGATCATATTAATCTATGGAGTGTTTTACTGGAGGAAAAATTGGATCTTTACAGAATGAAAGAAAAAGCTTAGCAGTGCCATAAAGTTACAGTAGACTGCATCACTCCCAGCAGTACATTCCAAATGAAGATGGAAATTATAGCCCCGAAAGTTAGTGCAGTTTGATTTAACAGGTTGGCTCTCTGATTTTTCTTTTTCTCATCTTAAGTTGATAATTTTAGCCGTAGGCTGGAAGTGCAGTGGCAGGTATGAAGAGAGAAGAGTGATGTGACCTGACTGACGACAGCAGAGTTCTGTGTTTTCTGTTCTGACTTTTTGTGTGGCTGCCTCTCTGAGCTTTCTCATCTGTAAAACAGATAGGCTGGCCAGGTGGCACCCACTTTGGTTAGTGTTTGTGAAGTGCTTTGATCACTCAAAGTCCTCTTTTAGCACTAATTACTCCTCGGGTGTAGTCATGCGTGAAAGTGAACAGGGGCAGTCCGACTTCTGCTAGGAAGGATAAAGCGCGGGAAGCGGAGGGAGGGCTTAGCCCAGAACACGCTGTACCCGGGCTGCTGGAGGGTGACTGGAGTCCAGCCAGCCTTCTGGTGCTGCAGAGAGAGCCTTTAGGCAATGTTTCATCACAGGTCTGTACAATACCAGATCCATGCAGATCTGCAAGGTGTAAGCCCATGTGTGTGGATTCAGCAGAAGGAAAGGCAGGTGGTGCAGGTGAGCCTCTGCCCCCCGGGAATTAAACACATCACACTACACGAGAGGAGGTGCCTTGTGATCCTCTGCACCTGCCTGTTCGGCTTCATAAAGCTTTGGCCTCCTTGTCACTTCCCAACAGAAACCTGCAAGCAGAGTATGACCGTCTGAAGCAGCAGCATGACCACAAAGGACTGTCTCCACTGCCGTCCCCGCCGGAGATGATGCCGGTCTCTCCGCAAAGCCCCCGGGATGCTGAGCTCATTGCAGAAGCCAAGCTGCTTCGCCAGCACAAGGGCCGCCTGGAAGCCAGGATGCAGATCCTGGAGGATCACAACAAACAGCTGGAATCACAGCTGCACAGGCTGAGGCAGCTGCTGGAGCAGGTGAGTCCTCAGGCATTTCTTCTAAGTCTTTGTAGAGTCATTCTCCAAATGTGAAGCATTATCAATAACAACATACCAAGAAATCCTATCTGTTTGGGCTAGTCAGAGAAAAATATTAAATTGTTCTACCGGCTGCAAGTGAGAATGTGAAATGAGGTTTCAGTGTTCTTATTTGGTCTTCTTTCTTGTTCTGTTCAGAATTCAAATCCATTGGTTGCATGGATATATTTACTTAAAAACAGATAGAAAATTGTGTGTATTCATGGAATAAATAAAAATTACAGAGATATGAAATAGTGAGTTGTTAATAACAACCTCTTCTTTTTTTTTTTTCCAATGTTCAGCCACAGGCGGATGCCAAGGTGAATGGTACAACACTATCATCTCCTTCTACCTCTTTGCAGAGGTCAGGCAGCAGTCAGCCAATGCTTCTTCGTGTAGTTGGCAGCCAGACTTCAGAAACTATGGGTAAGATAACAAAGTTCAGATTGTCATAAAACATAATTATAGTCCCATTTTCCAGAAAAAAATTCCTTAAACATGGAAAATAGGCTTCTGTTTAGTTCAAATGAGGATGAAGTAGGCATTTGCAATGGTCTTCGATGTCATCTGGCTATTTACATGTTCATTATGATTCAGGCTTTTGCTTTTGATCGTGATGCACACAGTAGCTTGGATATTTTGACATTAAACGCAAAGCTTAGCCAGGGCTTGACTTCTGAAAACAAATATCACTGAAAAGCTAGCTATTTTATTCAAACTGACTTTCCGTTATTAAGCATGACTGATTTAAATGTACATAGTATTAATTATGGCTAGGAGACTAAGTGTATTATTAGTCATCCCCGTGTTAACTGACGTGATCTTATTTTTAATATGTTGTGGCTCAATCAGTAGGATTGAACTGTCACTTACAGGCAGTGCTCATCTAGTGTCTTTTCTAAATACCACATCAGATGTGATAATGAACATCAAATGAGTTGTGGAGTAAGATTAGGTAATAATATTCTGTAGCTAGAGGCTGGAATTATTATTTTGGTGATTTTAGTAACTGCTCTGTAACATTTTCCTGATTTCTTATCTGTTACATAATTAGGAAGTATTTATTACCAAGCAGTAAGGATTTTTTGCTAGTAAAGAAAGCAATCAGTCGTTGCATCATCTTTAAACAAATGCACTTACATTACTTCAACAGGATAACGTTTCAAGTGTGATGATAATATTCAGCTTCATACACAGAAATTTATTTAATATGTATTAGAGAGAGACTTAAGTGAGAGCTTTGCTTTTAACTGCTGTTAGTGAAAATGTCAATGGCAGTGAGAGGTTGAATGGGAGGGGACATTCTGCTGTGTCTCAAGTGCTGTTGTGGTGGAAATGCAGCTTTTTGGGGGATATTTCTTCTATTCCAAGTGTAAGCAATAGTGTCAGCCTGTGCCAGTATCAAGCAAGATGGATTTTGTATGCCCTGCAACAAAAAATGTGAAATAAATTGTACTTTTAGGAATGCTTAAGTGAAATCCTGGGGGTGAGAGTTACAATCACAGGTAACAGCAATTTCATTTGGACTTTTCATTAGTCGTATTACCAATGAGGAAATATTTTCCTATGTATGGCATACACAGAGAGACAGAATGTATCAGTGGAGTAATTTGCATCAGCTTTCTGAAGAAATGTCATGAATTTCATCACATAAAATATGTTAATTAACATACACAGGAAAAGATAGGAAGGCAGTGGTTCCCAGCCATCTTATTAGAAGTCTTGTAGTTTGTAGTTTCTTATGTCATCCTATAGTAGGACAAAATACAATAATGTACTTCTTTTCATTTGACTCAATATAAAATCTTTCCCATTTAACTTGCAAGACTGGAATTAATTAATTAACATGATAGAGTCATATAAACTGCTGAAACTTTTTAAAGGAAATATTTAGACGTGACTTTATTTGATTTTTTTCCGATGGAGCTGATATATGGAAGGACAGTGAGATGTTGAGGCATTATCAGTATGATTGTATTGAGACTCAGCAAAGACACGCTGTTGGCAACATGAAGTGGAGCTTGTAAAAAGAATTACTAACCGAGCTAACAAACCGCAGCTAATTCAGTTTGTCGAGTCTCCTTTCACACCAGAAGGCTTTGCTTGCTAGTCTGAGAGTTTTCTGAAGCATGGCTTAAAATACTCTTGAGTTGTGAAGGGAAGCAGAGCAGTGATATAAATAATGCTCCCATGCAGAAAGCACGTGCCTGAAAATGAGGGAGCCATCCTTTCTGAGAAAAGACTGAGCTTCTCTAGGTCTCTTAGGTAATGAGGTAGTGTAGTGGTAGCTTTTATATGTTTTTCTCTTCAAAATTAGATGTTGGTTGTTTTTTTCTTTGAATGTAGACCTGCTGCACTTCTGTCTCTCTGCTTTCCCAGGGAGAGATGACTGTGAAAGGTTTTCCACCAGCAGTGTTGTCCATTTGGTAAAAGCTGTGACCCACTCAAATCCTAACTTACGAATAGAAGAGCTTATTCCTGTATTCCTGAAATACAGCTGGGCAAGTGGAAAGGTTTTGCTGCTCTTCTTATAGAGTCCTAATGGGAAAGTCCCTGTCTTTGGTCTTTCTCTCCCAGCAATGTAGCAGCGGAGGAGGTTTTCTGAGGCCTGTGAAGCAAGAGGCTGTTGCTGAACTTCATTTCATTCAGCTGCCACCAGAATATTTGACACTCACCCAGCTCTAAGCCTTTTGTAGGAACACAAATGGGGAAGGCTGTTTTGGCTAAAGAGAGGAGGTTGAGGTCCGAAGGTATCTTTACTTTTGTCAGGTTGCTTGGCTGATGTCTAATTTTGTCATTTACAAGGAAGTGCTCAGGAAAGTCATCCAAATAAGGAAAAGAATAAAAATAACGCATTTTAAATAAAAGATACAGCATTTTTGAAGGTCAACACAGTTTGGTTTGTGTCAGCACTTAAGAGGACATTTGGAAATCAGTACCTATCCTCAATTATCCTTGACCAGGACAGCAGAACCACCTCCTTCTTCTTCTGCTCTTTAGGGCCAGGAGGCTTTCTGTGGGCTGATAAAATCCTCAGCCTCTACCTCAGGGTAGAAGCAGCAAGATCTTGCTCTGAGTTTTCACCCTGACATCCAGCAAAGGCTGGAAGGACATTAGTTTTGCTAAGACACCTCCGTCAGTGATGTGAAAGTAACTCATGGTGTGAGTTGATTTGTGTGAACCCAGCACCAGCTGAAAGCTGAACAAACTGCAAGCAGTCTCAGCAGCTATTTTTAGACCATTAATGGAATAAAAGAAGCTGATACAAAGACTATCATTTATATGAATTAAGTGCTTCTTGCAGACACTCTACCCCACCTCTTGTAGTGGAGTGGGAGAAATCACTCTTGGTCAGTAATAACTCTTGTGAAACTCCTGGCCTAAATATAGGCAGCCCTGAAGTGTTCCTTTAGTATCCCTTTTTCTAGGTTTTCCACTAGCATGGAGCACCTCAATGTTTAAAGAACAAAAATGTTAACAGAAAATCAGAGTTTATTACTTGAGTAGGGCGAGGCATGTTAGAATAAAGGGTCATTAAGTTGTTTTCAAAATTGTGGTTATTACAGCAGGCAAAATTACTTTTGTGTTTTAATGGGGATAAAAGACATCTAGCAAAAAAGGAGAATCTCATTTCAAAGTATATCCGTTAGGTGTATTCCTTTCCAGATGCTTTATTTGTATTGGAGGCTAGGGCATACAGTAAAAACAACATGTGGATTTTAGTTATATGAAACCATGAGCAAAAGAATTCCAGTAAAAATAAAGTGTATTGAATTTCCCATTAAGATGCTGCCCTATAATCAGGTTATAGAAATTATTCAGTGGGAGAAATGTATTTTGCTTTATTAAACTGCTGCTAAACCCTTTTACAGTACAATTGAGTGTTCTTGGAGCACCAATCTGATGCAATTAAACTGTCAGAAATATTAATACTGATGCAGATGTGAATCTGGGTTTCTACTGATTTGTGCAGCTAGGCAAAGCAGTGCCAACATGAATCCAGCACTATTAGAAAGCTGCTCAACAGCAGCACTCACAACAGCAATTTCTTTTTCCATTAATAGAATAAGAGAAGCTGAAACGATGAGTGTCATTTATGGAACTAAATGTTCCTAGCAGACATTTTACCCTACTTCTTCTACCAGAGTAGATTATTTCTTAAATCTCTTTTTACAAATTAAAATCAGCATTAATTATTTCAAATTCATTGTTTAATTTCACTGATATCCTTATAAGGAAAGAGACACATAACAGTCAACAAAATTCACCTTTGAAATTTTGATTGTATGCTAAGCAGAAAATATGTTTATTAAATGGACAGCTTTAGCTTTGTGAAGGACTTATGCAATAGCAAACTGTTAGCAAAGGGTTTTGTCTCTCAGGCAATGGTGTGGATTTGCTTTGCAGGTGAGGATGAGCTGCTCAGCCCTCCCCAGGACACAAGCACAGGTTTGGAGGAAGTGATGGAGCAGCTGAACAACTCCTTCCCCAGCTCCAGAGGTGAGCGCTGCTGCCCGTGGCAGATGAGAGGGAAGAAGATAAAAGTGCTTTCTGTTCCTTGATGTTTTCAGGGGGTTGTGTTTTGGTATCAGTTTTTTTGCTGCTCTTTGTTTTCATTTTAACAATAGCTATAGAGAAACCTGTCTTGTTTAGAGTGGAGGAGCAGCCTGCTCCTCCTTTAGCTTAAGCTGCCTCCACAGGTAGCTCTTGCTAGATATGTGGATGAAAAAATGTCTGTATGAGGCTTTCTTCTCTGAGCATTTTCTTTGCTTCTTTTTTGTCATGTTCCTTTTCTCACGGCTTTTTTCCTTTTTGGTCAGTCCCCTTGTTGATTTATTTTTCATTACATGTCTTAGCACATTCTTCTTCTGTCCTTCCTTATCTTTCTCCAAGAAGAATCTGATGTGGAATAATATTAAAGTTCTAAGTCAAAGTTCTCAATCATGTAGAACTTGGGTCCAGAGGGATGGAGTAAAAATGAGTGGACTGCTTGTTTGTGCAGTGTGGGCTGCACTTGTATGTACAGCCACAACATTTCTTTCACTTGTTTCCATTTTGCTCACTCCTGTTGTTTGCTAAAGATAATCAGTTTGTGTTACGGGGATTTATTTGTTCAACCTTTTTTCATTTAAGAAGTTCTTTTCTGAGCCCAGAGAAAATACTCTGATGCCAAGAAAAATGGCTTAGATTCCTAGCAGGAGGTGGGAAGTTTGGGATTGTGCCTGTTGCTGTGAAGGAAGGCTCAGACATAAATCTCTTGGCAAGAGAAAGTCACAGTGTCTATTGGCAGCCTGTAAAATGGATTTCAGTAGGGGCATAGACTTTCCACAGGGCCTTTTGCACAGGTTTCACAAATCACCCAGAGGTTCTTCTTCAGCAGAGAAATGCATTAACCATTGTACTAGACCTTCAGTGGAGTTAAATTTTCTCCATCCTTTGATTTCAAAGTGAACTCAGCTCTCACCAGACATCACCCATGAGCAATGGAAAAAAAGGCAGGAAAAACCGTATAAGATCTCATGCTATAGATCAAAAGATGGAATCATTTAGAAAGATCCTGTGGAAGAAAATCCAAGCCAATAAATTAACTGTATTCATCTCAACATTATGTGAAAAAGTCATATGTCCAGACCTCAGTTTGTCTCAATATTAATTATGAGAGACAACAGATGAAAAATCTTTCATATGAAGGTAAAAGTGGACTTATTTTTAAAATTGCTGTGTACACGAGGTTGCAACAGGCAGTTTTCTTATCAGTGACCATCATTTGTGTAAATATGTTGTATTTAGGAGATCTTGCATAATTGTCTAGATGTAGATAGCCCATGTGTTAAAATATTCACCAAACTTGAACAGTTAGGTTTCTCTGTTCTTCATGTATCTTTTGATGCATTTGCATGAATGCCAGCTTTGTGTTTTTATTTTTGGTTGAGGTATAGGAGTGGTCTGAATAGGCTCTCTGTAAGAAACAGTTCATCCTACAAACAGTGCAGATGGATTTCCATTCATTGGTTGATGCAGAGGGCTACTGACTGTTGATTTTGGTGAGATCTCGTGCAAACTTCTGTTACTGGAGTTTTCTTCTGTTCCAGTTTTAACGATTAAATTATAGTCAGCTGATCCCCACATACACAAAGCTCACATCCCCACCTGCTCTGCCTCAACCTCATGTAAACCTTCACTATGACATGAAGGATGCTGAGGTCAGTCAGATTCCAGAGGCATCAGGGATCTGACTTATATTTTACAAGACTGCAGTAAAAAGAAAAGAAAGCAGAGTTGACTGGTCTCAACAAACTACTGAATCAGGAACCTTTTTGCTGTTGAGAGGTACAAATCTGGTCTCAGGTTTCTAATCTATAATAAAAGATCGAAATGTAGTTGCAAAAGAGTGAAAGCACTTTGGCAAAGCAGCCTGAGAAAAGGGCTGAGTGTGAGGACTCAGGTGTGGTGCAAGTCAAATTTTGTTCCTTTCCATTACAACTTGGATAGAATCTCAAGGTATAGGTGGAATACCTACCTCAAGTAGGTATTTTGGAAACAGAACAATAAAACCAAACAAGCATTGAGCACAGATCCATAAGGAATACATTTTATTATATTGTTTCTTATTAAGTAGAATTAAAAAACTGTCAAATGCAAGAAACACAATCATCTGAGTGTGACATTCAGAAATGGGTTGTGATACAGGAGCTGAGGAAGCTGGGGCTATTTAGCCTGGAGTAAAGGAAGCTCAGGAGAGACCTTACTGCTCTCTACAACTCCCTGAAAGGAGGTTGTAGTGAGGTTGGGGGTCAGCCTCTTCTCCCAAGTAGCAAGTGATAGGACAAGGGGAAGTGGCCTAAAGTTGTGCCAGGAGAGGTTTAGATTGGATATTAGTGAAAATTTCTTCAGGGAAAGAGTTGTGAAGCATTGGAACAGGTTTACCAGGGAAGGGGTGGAGTCAACGACCATGGAGGTATTTAAAAGATGGGTAGATGTGGGACGTGGTTTAGTGGTGGAATTGGCAGTGCTGGGGTGGACTCAGTGATCTTAAAAGTCTTTTTCAACCTTAATGATTCTATGAAATGTCGTTTCTTTGTGGCTTGTAACAACAAGCATGTTAAATTTCAAGCTGAATATCCAGCATGTCACAGCATAGAGAGTGACACGCCTTTTGAATCAGGGACATGATTCTGGATGTCCTATTGCCAGTAGGAGAACAGCAACTTGGAGGAGTGCAGAACAACGTGACAAGAGCAAACTGAACTCTGGAAGCTTTGGTTGTGAGAGAAAGGTTCAGAGTTGAATAAGCAGTGAAGAGAGAAGAGGACTGAATTTCTGTGCTTGGGTGCACAGATGTGTAATTGAGCATTACAGGATACAAATTAACAGCTAAATATTTAGTCTAAATACTGTTAAAAGCACCTGAAGAGTAAGATTTGCTCAGGCTGGAAAGCAGGCTCTTATTTTGAACTTCTGAAACAAAGCAGTAAAATGTAGTAGCAATTAATTGTCACTCACCTGGAGATAGATTCCTTATGATTAAGATATTTTCCAAGCTTTTGCTGCATAGTGTTGTTTTTAAAAGGGCATCAAGGCTTCATAGCATCATTTTGAATGTATTTTAGATCTCAGCTGCAATAGCTTGTGTACTATATACCTTTTATAGGGGTTTTGTTTGTTGTCTCTTCAGTTTAACCTTTTGGCAGTTCTTGGCATTTCCTAAGGAGCACAGGACCTCCATACTCCTTGCGTAGCTGGCTGTTGGTGCCGAAAGCTGTTTCATTTCTGGAGAGAAATTCTGCTGAATACCTGATGATTGCTGTCCTTAAGGAATTTTTCTTTCCTTTTAATCTACAAGGTTTCCCATCCATTCCTCTTTTACTTTGCTGCTCCCAGCAAATTCACAACTGCTGCAGCTGCTTCAAACAGCTGCTGTGCTAACTCAAAACAGATGTCAAAGCCAGAGGTCTGACATTTAGTGGAAATCTACCATTAAATACCACCTCAGTGGTTTATTTGACCCTGCTTGATAATGGGCCACAGAGGAAAACATTTTCACGCTGTATTTGTGCCCAAACTACTAAATCTCCAGGGAACTGGTTCACAGTTAGAAAGCAAGATTGGCAGGCTAGTATTTTTAAAGCCAAATTCATCTCTCCTGCAGCACTGAGGACAGAAAAGTTGTACCGCTTCTGGTGGATCTCATGGTGGACCAGGCTGAGGTTTGCAGTTGTAGTTCCATGGTGACTGCTTTCTGTGAATGATATTCAGAGAGGAATTTAGGGGCAGAAGTTCTTGAGCTCACTGAAGTTGGTGAGAGCACTTCCCAGATTCCAGGCCCTGCTGGATTTTCCCCAGCAGGGCCCTTGCTGGGGAATAATGAAGACGTGGGAGCCAAGAAGTGGTTAGAAATGAGACCATGATGGCTTAAAAGAGCTAAGAGAACATGACATAACTTGAAAACATTTGGAAAGAGATCAGTATTCACTTACTGTTTAGTGTGGTATTGCTTAACACAGATGTGGTCTTGTGCAGTGAAATTACAAGACCCCACAGCAATAAATGAGTGACACTAAGAATAGCGCCATTTTTTTAGAAGTTTTTATTTTTATCTCAGTCACATTAAAACACACCAGTCACATTTTCTCCTCTCACTTTTGCGTCAGCCAGGCTCTGTTATGAGGGGGACTAATGTCCTAAGTGGAACTAGCAACTTTCAGCACTGCAAATAATGCAGTTTCTCTTATTGTGACAGCAAGATAATACACACTTTTCACACCTTACTGAATCAGTGGAAGAGTACCCTGGAGTTTATACTGTGGGGTATTCTGGAAATATTCTTCCAGTTGAGATATCCTGGCCCCTTCTGGATTGTATCACCTTGTCTGTGCTGTGGTCCTGCATCCCACAGCAGTGAGCCTGCGTGACTGAGATCCCTCATCACTCCCCGTGGTACAACAGTACTGATCTGGCTGAGCCTCTAGAGCTGCAGATGGGGTGGTGAGGGGGAGGACTAGGTCTTTCATGTTTTATAATGCCCAAATGTGTACCTTTGCCTGTGATACAATGTCATGTAGCTTTCCAAAAAAGAAGAAGAAAGAAAAACTCTTCTATTTTTTAGGAGCAGGAAGTCTTGATTTGAGCAGGAATAATAGATAATTAGGCACCCATGGATTACGTATCAGTATTTTGATGCCTTATAGGACACAAATTTTCAGAACTGCAGCAGTATAGACAACCTTTTTCCTCTGCAATTTATGCCAAACCATGCTCTTTGCCTTAAAACTTAGAAACACACATTCATTCATATGCAAAGAAGGAAATAACGTAAAATCCATTAAACCCTTTTTAATCTTCCTCCAGTAGAAATTAGCTGTTACCGTAGTAGCACTGCTCTTTTTTGCATTTAACAAATTCTAGGGCTGATTACTCACCACAGACTGTCCTCACCAGCTGTTTTGTGTGGTGCTGAGCTGTCCCAGTTACCTTTAAATGCATTCATTTTCAAGCAGAATCCACTCTGTCTCACGTAGATTTAAATTAAACACTGTGTAGCTGCACCTGGTGGTGCTTGTCCAGGCAGGTAGGCATTTCTTAAGACCTCCAGAAGGATCCAGTATTTTACATGTGGAGAGTTCCTTCTCTCTTCTTGACCCAAGCTAAACAGTCACCTGCTGGATCTCATTCCTGCCCCAGGACTCTTGCACACCAGGCTGTACCAGGCTGCAGTTCCTTGGAGTCCTCAACTAGACCACCTGCTGACCTAAACTCTGGGGCTCTTCCTCAGATGACCAAAGCATGCAGTGGATTTTACATCTTCAAGGATTTACTGTTGCATGATTTATATTGGTGAGAGATTCCCTCCCAGAAGGCATTTTTTAGGGAATTCATGACTCCTGATAAAAGTGCCAGAGGAGGTCTCAGGCTCTGTAGGCACGTGTGTAAGTCCTAGAGAGTTAGGCAGGTCTAACAAGGTGGAGTCCTTAGTGAAGGGATACCTCTCCTGGCCATCAAACCCTGGTGCCTCTGTGCACCACCAGCATGTTTGGTACAGACTTCACCAGAGTCCAGGCTCCGCTGAGGAGCAGAATAAAAACCCACACACATGCAGAGCATGTTATTATCAAACCTGTTATTGTCATTTCTAATCATAAGTGTGCTGCTGGGGAGAGGGAGAAGGGCAGGAAGGGAATGGTAACCTTAGCTGTCCAGGCCTTCAGAGGCTGCCCCAGCCCTTTCCATTGCCTGGAGTTTGTGGCTGAACCATGGCTTTGGCCCATGGTGGTCAGTGATGCCATTCCCTTCCTCTGCCCTCTCCTCCTCTGCTTTCCTGCCTCTGCCCAGCTCTGTTCTGCTGTTGACCCTTGTTCTGCAACTTGTAAAATATCTGCAAAGCTATTTATTGCCTTCCTTCCCTTCTCCTGCAGGCTTCCATACCTAGTGAAAAACTCTATAGCAATTAGGTTACTGTGACCACAATGTTCTCCCATAGGTATCTGTCTCTATCCCTGTTGTCTCATACATTGCTTACAATTACATCTTTTCCAGCAGCTCTGGGGCAAAGATCATCCTCTTTCTTGAACAGCATCTACCACAGTGACTTTCTCACCTCAGACTGCAAGTCTGGCCCTGCCAGTGCGGGCGGTGATGTGACAGTGACAGTGAGACACTGCTTCTGGAGACAGCAAGCCTCTTACTGTCACTGGCTGTGTGTTGGGAAGGGAGTGTTTGCTGTTGATTGACACCTGGCTTTCTTTGTTTAAAAAAAAATATGCTATGGGAAGTGTTTGAGAAGAATCAGCGTGATCAAAGTGTGGCTTCCATGAAGGCTTCTTAGGAATATCTTTTCAGATAAACCCATTATTGACTCCTCCATTTTGGCAGTTCTTGAACCTGATGCTGCTTTCCCTTTTTTCCCTTTTTCCTTGATTTTTTTTTCTCTCTCCCTCTGTCCCTTCAGTTTTACCATGCTTGCAGATCAGCATGTTCCGAACATATTTTGGAATATATTTATCTTGAATGTGAGCATGTTGTTTTCCAGTGTACAGCTCTAAGTGTAAAATAAGTGTGCGTGTACACATATGTGTATATTTATTAATGGATACCTCAATGTATATAGGACATAATGCAATGTAAAATGCCTGGATAAATTAATTTGACATCGAGAAAAATTATTTTACTGCTTACACTGATTGCCAAACATACTCGAGGAAATAGGATGCTCAGAAAGTGAATTCAAATCTTCTCTGCAATCCTTATTCTCAACTGAAAAGCCTATAAGTTGGGGCTGGTGGTTTTCTCAAGTGTTTTGTGAGGTTAAACCAAGCCACAGGTGACAGGACTGTTGTTGAATAAATCAGGTCAGAATCATCAGTGGATTTCAGTGCACTTTCAGTCTTTCTTTAAGCAGAAATGCATTTTTATTTAATATTAAATATCTAAATGGAAATTGAAGTGTCTCTTACAGTATAAAATATATGTTCATGTGTGGTTTTTTCCCTTTCTTTTCTGATATGTATTCCACTTCCTCTCTCTGTTCCTAAAGGAAGAAATGCCCCTGGAAAGCCAGTGAGAGAGGTTAGTGAGACGCAGGCTCACTGCCATGGCTTCTGTTTGTCACAGCTTGCTTTCTGTGCCCAGCATGCGTGTGACACAGCACGGGTTTGCTTGGGTTTGGTGAGGGTTGGGGGTGGTTTTATTTTGCTTTGGATTTTGTTTGATTTTGCTGAGTGCATTCCCCATGTGTGCTGTGACAGTAGTGTACCTCTCAACTTTCAATGGAAACAATGTCAGCTCAGGGCTCTGCATTTTCTTACATCCTCACAGAGGTGGAAAATCAGAAATGGGGAGGAGAAAATAATACATTGAAATTAAGCCTCTGAGTGATAAATGTTGTCAGCAAATACACTGCAGTCATTGACATATTCTGATGCTCTTGTATGTAAGTGCAACAGGGAGACCCATGTCTCTTGCTGTTCTGCTTACATAATCACAGTTTTATTTACATATATGTGCCCATGTACCAACTATCATCTCCAGTTACCAAACAGTTTTTTTTCTTTTCCTTTAGAATAGTGAGAGTTGAGAGGTATGAGAGATTCAGGTGTTTTAATTTCCTGGTGTACTGTTGCAGAATGAAGAATGCTACTAACATTCACCAGCTCCACAGTGTTGTATTGAGCAATGCAAATGGGTGATGGTTTTCACTGTGCACTTTGGACATGGTTGGTTTGATGCAAAATAGGTTTTGGAATTTGTGTGTCACTGCTCATTAACGGAGGGAAACGTTTTGCGCTGTGTTGTCACAGCACCTTTGAAAGTATTTCCAGAGAGCCTTGATTTTTCCTCTGTGAAGCTGCTCTTCACTTGCCAACCAGATACAACGTTTGAAAGTTTAATTTCTAGCAAAAATTATTATTAAAGACAAAATATTCAGAGACTGCCTGAGTGCAGTTGCAGTATCTGTGAAATGACCTTTCCCACACAGAAGGTGTTCCGTGTGGATGAGGCAGAAATTGAAAGGTAACCCAGTTTCCAAACTTCTGCTGGTGCAGAGGGACGGGCTCATGGAAACACACTGCACTGGGGTTTTTAGCAGAGCTGTTGTGAACCCCCAGCCACTGACAAGCTACCCTGGGAAAGCCAGGATTTGTCCTGATGTGATGCCTCGAGGTTCTCTGCATTGGCTGTAGGAGCTGGGACAGGTCCAGCTACTTTGAGGTGTAAGATCTTTGGTACAGATTAAGTCTGTCTTCAAATGGCTGGTCCTCTCATATGGATCAAAAAAGAGTGCTTGGGATGACATCAACAGACTGCACCAGTCCAGAAATTTTATGTAAATTATTTCACATTAAGCCCTGCATTTTCTCGGCTCATACACTGAGAATTTTTCTCCAATTCAGCAAAACATGACATTGATTTCCACTATCCTCATTCATAATTATGCATATTATTCAAAAAAAGCTTCTGATGCAGAGGGCGCACTTGGTACAATTAATTAAAAAAAAAAAAATTGGCGTGTTCTACCCAGTCAGATTCCAGCAGCTTAACCCTGAAAATCTGACTTGAGTGAATCACTCATCACTCTCCCGCTGAGTTTGTGCTCACTAACTGTTCCAGAGGAGCCTTAGCAACTTGCAGAGCTGAATATATAACTCAATTGTCCACCTACTTATGAAGTATGAGCTAAGGTATAGGACAGCTTTTGTACTATGTGTGAATCTATTTGTGCAAAGGCAGATCATGTGGTTTTAAACCCACCTGGCCAAGTTCTGATCTTATTACTCACATTAGGTATTGTCTTCATGTGTAATCCCATGGATTTGGTATCATTACTCAGTATGAATAAGGGTATCAAAATCCAAACGACCAACAGGAAGGATTTTTCTTTTGTCAGGGAAGGGTTAGAAATCTGTGATGCTGAAAAAGGCCCTGCATTGTGTTGGGGTTTCTTAATTTACTTTCTATCCACTCTTTCCAGTCTGAATGCTCCACATATATTTCTCTGACAAGCTGTAGGATAACATTGGTATTCCATTACTGTGCCCCCACCCACGGGCCTTAATTCTGTTAGAATCTCTAAAGCAAATTCAGCAAATGTGAAACACATCATTCTATGTGTGACCAGAAGTGATGTAGTTAATGTCTACAGAAATAGGTGTCTTCTGCTTTCCAAGCAAATGCAGCTGTGGTTTTTATATGTTGAAGTTAATACTGTCCATGTCCATTTTGAGCTTTATTGCTGCATTTCAATGTGTGTGCTAGTTTTTTTCTTTCACAGCAGCATTTTTCAACCTTTTAGTGCCCCAAGCACGGAGAAGACTTTTTCAGCTTTAGTGTTTAAAAAAAAAAAAAAAAAAAAAGTAATTAATACTTTCTTTGATGGCATTACTTTAGAAATATGAATAATAATGGAGAACTGATCCGTATTTTTCTAAGTGCTTTTAGGACAGTATTTTTCTCATTTGCTTCTTAATTAAAAATGTCAATGTCCTATGTTTTTAGTATTGGAGAGAGCCAGTAAGCAGCATTCAATAGAAGCAGCAGAGCTCTATGGAAACAGCCAGTGAATTCTGAGCCCTTATTTAGGTAACAGACATTACAGAAAGGGGTGCATTCCTTGCACATGCAGTACCAGGAGATTATCGTATATTTTGTTCTCAGCTGTTTGCAGTCTGGATTAACCTGGCTGTTAATCTCTTCTCCAATAGAGGCAAAAAAAAGCTACTGGCAGTGCAGTGACACCCAGCTGAGGGTCCACCAGTTGTATGGCTGGGACACAGCTGTATCATCCACTCCTCTGGCCCATTCTGCCATCCCATGGCTGTCCTGGAGACTGTGGTCCCCAGGCTACTGCACTTTACAGCCCAGCTATTAACATAAACTGCAGTCAGCAGTGGTTTATGGTCATGCTCTGAGCTGTAAACTCAGATGGCTCAGGAGAAGACACAAAATTGTTCAGGTTTTGTGCAGAGGAAATTAAGAGCTGTGTGGAGAGGGAGTGTGGATGTTGTGGGGGACAGGGAGTCATATCTCCTTAATCACCCAGCATGTCTCTGTGCAGCTTTTGAGGGGAGAGACTGGATTCAAAGCATGGTTATTTAAAAAATACAGCATCACTTAACAAAGAAAAAAATATTACTGGACATTTCTGTAATTTTTGTGTATCAGAAAGTACCTAGGGATTCCTGAATGCATAAGGAGTTCTTGGCTTGTGTTTCAATTACCTGAACAATTTAGCAGTTTGTATCTACTGTGGCATACTTCTAAAAGGCTTTTTTTATATGTTTTTGGTTGAAGTTATCCTTTCTCACCTTGCCTCTTTCTGACAGAACAAAATAGTATTAACAAATACTAATTTTTTCTGATGATGGGGTTTAGCAGTTTGGGTTGCTCTGAAAGGATGACCACTCTTCCTGAGCTGGGAATGAGTGGTATTGGAAACCCTGAAGAGCTGTAGAGTCCCATTGTTGTTTCTAGAAACAACAGATGACAACAAATCTGAATGAGAGACCATAACCCCACAAGCAGCCCTGTCTCTCACAGCTGGCAAGCCAGCTATAACCTCACTCTGGTTATACCAGGGTTATTCTGATAAAGCCATGTCAGAGTCTCAGGTAAGTAGAGCAGCCCAGGGGCAGTTACCTTCCTGTTTGCATAAACATCTCCCATATATATGTTCTTGCTTTCATATGACTTTGTCAGATTCTCACTTTTTGTGGTGTAATTTGCTGGATTGATCTCAGCCTGCATGATGCCAGTGAGAGAGATTATCCCTTACATCTAAAATACATGTGGTAGGATACATTTATTTTAAAGTAAACTATATTTTGACCAAAACTTGTCAGGAATTTTTCATACTCGGTTACTTGTCGTGGTGATGAGCAAATTACAAGTTTTTGCTTAGGATGAATAGGGTGGCTATACTGTAATGATTTATGGATGAAATTGCTAGTTGGTGCATCTGTTTCTCTGTGCATTAGTGCAATTAGCAAACTGTCACCAGATTAGAAGCAAGTATTGCTTTGTATCGATATCTGGCAAACTGTGCCACACATAGCACAGCTCGCTGTTGAATGGGCAGCTTGCTGAATAGCTGTCATTTAGATCCAGCCCAGTTTTGAGTAATGAAGGCTACATTTAAAAAAAAAAAAATCTAACAACTTTAAAAAAGAGTATTTGAATGTAGAAGGTGGTAGTAGTTTTCCAGAAGAAAAAAACCTCTGGGGTTGTTCAGCCTGGAGAAGAGTAGGTTTCAGGGAGACCTCATTGTGCCAGTACCGTAAGGGGCTTATAAAAAAGGGAGGGAGAGGGACTTTTTATACAGGCAGATAAGTGATAGGACAAGGAGCAATGGTTTAAATAGAGGGGAGGTTTAGATTAGAGGTTAGGAAGAAACTCTCAGAGGGTGGTGAAGCACTGGAACAGGCTGCCCTGTTGTGGATGTCCCATCCCTTGAAGTGTTCAAGGCTGGGTTGGATGGGGCCCTGAGCAACCTGATCAATTGAACAGCATCCCTGCCCGTGGCAGGGAGGTTGGAACTAGATGGTCTTTAAGGTCCCTTCCAAGACAAACCATTCTCTGATTCTCTGAATGGTTCTCAGGTAATTTTTCTCTATTCCATAAATGCTGCTGAACTAATGTCACTCCCAGCTCTTTTTACTGTAGAAATGTCAATAGTGCATGAAAACCATAATATATGGGCATTCGGAAAAGGATGGTGAGTCTGATCTGCCACACAGGGAAGGTTCATTCCTGTCAGAGAAGACAGTTGTGTCAGGAGGGACACCCACGATGTAAGTGTGCAGTGGTAACAGTCAGGCTCTGGGACATTACAGAGAGAGACTGCATGAAAGGTGTATTCCTGGGTGCCCTGGTCATGTCCTTCCTTCATTTGGGTGCTCCTTCCTCAGTGACCATGGTGAGGACTCAGCATCCAGGCTCCTGCAAAGCATTTCTGGGAAGCAGAGTTGTGGGCAGGTGGCATTGCACCTCCCGTGTTTTTCCAGACAAGTGCTCTGTCACAAGTGCTCTCAGAGAGTAAATCAAACCCCCTCAGGCCACAGCAACATACAGTTTTATTTAGTAATACCTCACTTGTTATAAATGTTCAGTTGCTGACACTGCAGTGAGGGGTCTTCTTGAGTTGGAGGTCACGTGCACTTCTTTGCATCTAAAAAAATCTTTCTTCAGCAATTATTTTCTAACTCTTCTTTTAACTCGTTTATGTGTTTGGCCTCAACATCAGCCTGTGGCGATGAATTCAGTAATACAATTATGTGCTGTGTGGAATATAATTTCCTTCTGCTTGTTTTAAGACCTTCTGTCTGCTCATTCCTCTTTGTCCTTGCAAGAAATCTTGAGCATTCAGTCCTTGATTTCGGTGCTCATCTTATATGGTGACTAGATCTGTGTCATATTCCGTCTTCAGTCATACTTTTTTCAGGAGGGAGATTCCAGATGGGATTCAGCTGTTTAAAATGTGATATTTCTGTCATTTGAGGTGCCAGAAGGTATTTGAGACAATCATAGAAGGCTGAAAATCTGACAGAAGACTTGCAGGACACCCACACTCTTCTGAACAGAAGTGAGAGACAAGACAGGGTATGCCAGGGGCCTAAAATGGCAACTTTTGGCAATTTAATCTCCCTGTCTTCAAGTCTGTTTGGTCTCTAATTGTGATGAATCCATTCCTTACTGCCCATCAGTGTTGCTGCCTTTCCTTTCCATTGAAGCAGTGGTGACACAAATGTAAGAAGTTGCAGGTTTCATCTCCAGAATTGTACTGCATGTTTGTTTATCACTTCTGTGTAGGAGGTTTTGGTTATACCATCTTAGGACTTTAGAGTGGTTATGGGTGAGAAGAAATGTATAAGTGAATCACTGCACAGTAGTTAGTTGATAATTGTGGCATCTTTGTTTCTGCTGGACTGCTGTCTGAAAAGGAAAAGATATTTTAAAAATTATTGAATGAGCTGAGCTGCTTAGTTTGGTCATTATTATATGTCTGTGCAGGTATCCTGCTGGGAGCTCTTGGGTTTAATGATTTAGTTAATTACTGCTGATCTGTTTGTTTCTGGTTTTCTCCTTGATAGAACATTGAATGCTCAAACACTTTCAGCATCAGTCAGAAGCTTTTCTGTGATGTCAATGGACTTAATTGTTGCTTTTGGTGAACATTGATAATGATGATGCTTTATCACTGTGGGGGGTGATGGCTTATTGTCATCATGGTTTACCATAGCCATTCAAGCCAGTATTGCTGCTGAAGTGTACTGCAAACCTGGCAACCTTTGCTAACAACAACCTGTTGGACTCATCTGGGAGTCCACTTTTTGGGAAAAGTGCTCTGCAGTGTACTGCCCTGGGGATGGCGGCGAGCGGCACATGGAGAGTGATGGATCTGTAAAATGTTCCTACCAACACGCTGCCATGTCCTCTTTGTTTAATTTCCTCTTCTTTGAATTTCTTTTTCAGGCCACAATGTAGGGAGCCTTTTCCACATGGCAGACGACTTGGGAAGAGCGATGGAAACCTTAGTGACAGTGATGACCGACGACAAGGTGTTAGAATAGCAAGATGTGTTTTACAACTTCAGGCGTTCCGCATGGTTTTTATAATATTCATACTACAAAGAGGATTAGACTGTAAGAGTTTACAAGAAAACAAATCTATATTTTTGTGAAGGGTAGTGGTACTATACTGTAGATTTCAGTAGTTTCCTAAGTCTGTTACTGTTTTGTTAACAATGGCAGGTTTTACACGTCTATGCAATTGTACAAAAATTATAAGAAAACTACATGTAAAATCTTGATAGCTAAATAACTTGCCATTTCTTTATATGGAACGCATTTCGGGTTGTTTAAAAAAAATTTATAACAGTTATAATGAAAGATTGTAAACTAAAGTGTGCTTTATAAAAATAATTGTTTATAGAAACCCCCTTAAAAAAAACACAAAAAAAAATATACTGAGGCAGTGCATTTGTTTAGTTTCATTTCAGCTCTGTAACTGCATCAGAGAGATTCATGTCCTGTGTTCTTTTCCTTGCCTAATGAAAAGTAAAAAAAAAGTATTTCCTGAAGTGACACCAAAATGGCCAACTTACATTTCTCATTGGTTTTGTCTGACTAGGGCTGGCTTAAAAAAAAAAAAAAAAAGAAACACAAAACTGAACTTCCAATGAAGGTAGTTATGTCATATCTTTCCAATAAAATTAAGAATTACATGAATTACTGTCCTGCTTTCGGACAGCAACTAGCAATTACACAGCTAGTTTGCAATAATTAAATGAAAGAGCACATTACATGACAGAGCCTGCAAAAAAAATTAATTAAAAAAAAAAAAAAAGAAAAAACCCAGAAGAAAGAAAGAAAGGAAAGAATTTAATGAGCATCCTATGTGCCAGTGTTTCCTCTGCTAACTAAATTCCTGAATGCTGTTAGTAAAGGAACGTAGAAATTGCCTTACTGGTTTAAACTTTCAGAGCTCGGTGTCCGGTACCTGTGGCTGTGCTTCAGCAGGGGAGAAGTTCCCTCCTGACCCCCTCAAAGCATCACAGAGCATTGTCCAGCTCCCAGTGCTGTTAATGAGCATGAAGCTCCTCGATCCTCTGGACAGTACAACCAGAGCTTTCCGCAGTCCCGTGTCTCAGCCTGCTACAGCAGCCAGTCCCAAGGAGCTGTAATGCTGTGAGCAACCTTTGGGAAAGGCTGCACAAGAGTTACTGCTGTTCTCGCCCGCGTGTGGTGATCAGGTGAAGGTAGTCACACTGCTCCATGAGGTGTTTATCACCAAAACAAAGACCCTGGTCCTTTCTCCTTCCCTGTTTTTCTCTCTACAAGTAATCCTGCACAATTAACAATAACGTGAGGAAGAGAGGAACCGGTAGCAAAACAGATTAACCAGTTTGACTGCAGCTCGGGAGAGATTGGTTTGGGTATGAGGTGCTGTCAGCAAAAGCTTTACCACTTCATTTTCTTAACCAGCTTTTAATTTTACCTTAGAATACATAGAAATACACCATCTGACTTTATATTGCAAGAGTATAAAAAAATCTGTTACCTCTTCTTGTATGAATTGTAATTAAACTTGGGAAAGATTTTATTTTGAATGCTAGTTAACATTGAACATAGCTAGTCATGCTATTTCTACCTCACTTTGGTTTTGTGGTGTTCCTGACAATTATGTACGACAATGTTACATCCTCACCACGTGTCCATTGTGTGACCAGGTATCATCGTTTAAATAATAACAACGTTCATAATCTTTAAAAATAAGTACAATCCTCCCAAACCTCTGCTTTCCTAATAAAGAGCTTTTTTTAACACTTTATTAAAATAGGAACCCTCACTATTTCTCATGGCCTTTTTTAGCAGAAGGTTTAAATTGCGATTTGAGAAATGGGTTTCTTCTTTTTTTCCCCCCTTATATGTTAAACCTTCTCTTCAGAAAAAAAATGGAGGAAAAACAGATTGCACGATTGTTTTCATCAGGGTTTTGTTTTGTTTGTTTTACTTTAGTTTTGGAGTGAGTCTGTCAAAAAGTATTTAAAAAGTTGAAAGCTTTATTGCTGCTTTTTTAAGCATAATTTGGGAATTATTTCATATTCCTTATAATGACAAAATATTAAACTGTAAAACATAATCAGTGTAGTTGAAAACATAAATACCATATGGCATGTTATTACATCGTTACTCAGTACTGGTTTATTACTTGGATATCATAATATATTGTGTTTTAACACCCAACACTGTAACATTTACTAATTATTTTTATAAACTTCTGTTTTACTGCATTTTTTCACAACATACCAAATTTCACCAAATATATGCCTTACTATTGTATTATATACTGCTTTACTGTGTATATCAATAAAGCACGCAATTATGTTATAAAAAGTGCAGCAGTTTTTGTTGTGGTTCAGCACTCACCCAGTGCATTCCCTTGCCAGCAGCATCTCAATGCCTCAGCTGTGAGGTTTTTCTCCCCTGCTGAAGTCTTGGGTTTATGCTCCCCAAGCTTTTAGGGGTTTGCCAGCCCCACACTTTCTGCCTCATCACAGGCAGGAGCTTCGGACCAGAATGATCTTCAGTGTTCAGTCCAGCACTTGTTAGTGTCCTTGCCACCAGGCATAATTCTGGGAAACCCCTCTCCTCTGGGGCTTCGGGAAGTGAATGTTCTCATCAGAGAGGATGGTCGCACATATTCTTTCTCATATCTAAGAAACATGTAGGTTTTGATACCCAGACTCCACTCAGCTGTGTCACATTGTTTTCTTTGATCTACTTTTTGGTGGTAGAAATAATATGATGAAAAATATTACAATACAAAGGCAAAACCAGCATATGTTTACCTATGATTTTGATAATGTGTTGAGGGAGAAGGTGAGAATTTCCTCATTTCATTCACTTGAGGAAATAAATATGCATCCCACATCTACTCTCCCAGACTCAGGTTACTCTGGATTCACTCCTACATAAGTGAATCAGTGTGTCTTGCTGTACTCAAGTCTTCCCTGAAGATTACACAATCCACAAAGCACAGCAGCCCCCAGTGATGACTCCTGTTGAATTCAATTAAGCAAGAGGGAGGATAACTTCTCTCATTTCTCCCACGCCCACAGCCCCATTATTTACAACTCCTAACATCCATCAATAAAGTGGTGTTTTGAATGGCTCCTAGGAATGTTTTCTTTATATAAGTTCAGGTGAAATATCCTCCTTATTGTAAGGACAAGGCTGTTTACTGGTCAGTGTGTTTCCTTGGCTCTCTGGGCAGAAGGGAAGACTAGTTCTCTTTTATTTTGGCTGCCTTGTTAACATGATGCCATTTACTCATAGACTCCATAGTCTTTTCTCTACCTTTTCAATAGATAGATAGCTAGATGATGGAAATCCTGAGGTCCTGATAGCCAGGTCAGCAATACTGGGGGTGGGATATTCCCTTCCCATTGAGGCCAAACATCTCCTCTGCTCCCCACTGCCCATCATGGTAAAAGACCTTCACAGCTCAGGGCAGCACATGCAGGGCATCTTCTGCTGCACAGCCCCTGATTGCCACCTCTCAGCCCAACCACTGCTGCCCAGCCCAGCCCTCAGCTTCCTGCTAGAGTTCAGGAGCCCAGCACCCCCTGCCTGCTCCGTGGGGCTGTGTGGGCAGCAATGCCTGCTCTGCTGCAGTGATGGGGCAGGAGAAGTCAAGGAGGGAAGCAGCTGACATGGGAAGAAAACCAAACTTGTCTTTTCAGTTAGGGTGGGGGGAAAGAGGGAAAGCAATGACATACAAGATGGAGAAAAGGTGTAATTCACTCCGTGGTGGTGCCTGCTGAGAGCATCCCCGGCCTCATTTGGCTGGATATGCGCAGCGGGCAAAGTGCCATGGACTGCTGGATGAAGTGCTTGTGCTTCCAAGCCCACCCACATGCAACCAGCAATAGCTGCTTGCTCTTCTTTCCCAGTGGCAGCTTCGAAGCTACTATTATGTTACAGCTGATGTCAGTTTTACATCAGGTGCCCTGCAGTGAAGAACAACTGTGCAAGGTGGGGATGAAGTACTGACATCCTGCATGGACCTGATCTACCCCTCCTTGCAAAGGTGCAGGAGCAGCAGGAGCATCCTGGTGCCCAGCCCCACACTCAGGCCCTGGCGGCATTTCACTGGCTATGACCCATTTTGGCTCCCTGTGGGCACATGTGTGCAGTCAGGCTGAAAACCAATAAATCTCCCTCTTCTTGAGAGGATTTCACTGGGAATTTGTTTCAGCTCAGAGCAAGCATATCAACTTGCTAGAAAGTACCATAAATCTGTGCAAGAAAAATGGGCCTGCTGAGACCAACTAAGGTGTAACACTTCCATACATGAACCCCATAAGCTGATAATGCTGCTTACCAGCTGAGGAAGATGACTGCAGTACGTAGGTAGTAACTCATAAAGCCCAAAACTTGTTTTTAAAGCACCTGTGGTTAAGGGAGGGATGAGAGGTAAGGAAATCTTGTAGCTGTACAAGTGAATTGTGGGGCTTCAAAAATACCCAGAGCTGCTCTTTCAGCCTATTTCCTAAACCCCTACTGCTTGCCAACCCAAGGCTTGTATTAGTCACTTGGTAATTGTTTACCAGGTGTAAAGACTTTCTGTTGTTATTATCTGTGCATTACAGTGGAGATGCCATTTATTCAATAGCTGGCACATGCCTTTTGCTAGCTGTGTCCAAGCAAGTTCTTCCTGTTTGCTGACATAAGCAACCCACTACTTCTAAGACTTTCCTCTCTCTCTCACACCCCTCTAGGTACACATGCACACATACAGGAAAGAAAGAACAACAAAGCAATCTTTCATTGTCTTTCCTGCTGAATGGAAGAGATTGTTTTTTCTCCACAAAATCATCTCCGGGAATAAGAGCATCCTCATTGGTATGTCCATATTTTCAACAAGTGCCTAAAAAAAAAAAAAGGAAGTTTTTTATATTTCATAGTAGGAAACCAGGAAATGATGTTAATTTGCTCAGCATTGCCCTACTTTTTTCCCTTCACACAAATTCTATCTGATGACCCAAACCAACAACATAGAGGGCCGTTTTGCACGTATAATGTCTTTCAGAGCATTAAAAACAATATTAAATAAGATGAGATTCTTTGAGAATGCGTTATTTTATTAAGTCAACGACTAGTTCAGTAAATACATCAATTAGACCTCCATGAGGCTGTAAAAAGATTGTTTGGCCCCTGGCATACATGAACTTCCCACTTCTTCATGCCTATCTGCCATGAAGCTGCCATCAGCATGTCCACATCTTCCAGCTGACACAGCTCTCTGCTCACCCCTCTGCTGTGTGCAAGGGAGAGCCGCATCCCCTGCTCGCTTCCAAAGTCGTGCTCCCACCTCAGCAAGATGAAAGCTCTTTCCATTCTGGCTCAGAAGCAAACTGACGAGCAGCTGACCTGTGAGGCAGCTGGGGAGCACGGCAGTGGCAAAGGTTTCTGGTGAGGTTGAGGACTACACCAGGTCAGGCCTTGCGTGGTCGTTCAGGGGACAAGAGAGGCACAGTGAAACCCCAAGGTATTTGTGGGAACAGAGTCAAGTGTTGTGCATACAGGGAGATACCCATAAGAGTATTTTTATCCACTGGTGGTGTTGCAACATAATGTCAGGTTAGAGCAATTTCAAAACAGGTACCATGTCCCAAAATAAGAATAAAACTCTTCAATTAAAACTGTTCAGACTCCTTGCTGTTCAGTTTGCATTACATAAAGATGCCCTTCCTGATGATCTATGGTGGACTAGTACATAATCAAAAATACCATCATGAGAGGATTTTTACTTCTGCATCTGGGTAATTTTTAGTTGTGCCTCATTCACCAGACAAATGGGTTTATTTTAACACTGATGTAGGAGATGCTTCTTTTCGCTCAGAAGATTAATGGCAGTTGCCAGCATAATTCCCTGCTGCATCCCACAGTGAATGTTTAGATAAAGGCTGCAACCAGCTGCAGGTGATAAGACATGAAACTACTGGGGTTTTTCCTACCAACCACAAATATGTGCTTAGAAATTCATGGTCTCAGGAAAATATGAGGTATGTTAGAATAAATTCTAGATACATGAATATATACCAATATGCACACAGACAGACAGAGGCATGAAACACACATCTTCCTGTGTGACACACACGCACACTCAGACATGCACGCACAAGCCCTTTGCTGAGCTAAGCCTGTGAACCATTCGGTTGTGTCAAAATAGATAAAGCCTGACAATGTGCATTATTTCAGCTTTATTTTAAATTGTAACAGCCTGTGGTTTGCAGCATCAGAGCAGTATTTTGTTCAGCAGTTGCTGAAGTTTCTTCGGGAATTTTGATTCCTAAGGAAAGTGGCTGTAAGCATATTGGATCTGTGTAACTTCTTCTTTTGTTGTTCTTCTGAAACACCTGGCAGAGCTGGCATGGCCTTTCAGCCTTGGCAGAAGGTAATAAAGGCATCAAGCCTATAACTTAGCTTCTTTCATCTTTTTTTTTCACCCTATATTTTTAACCTCACTGGTAAACTCAGAGCCTTCCTTCAGCAAGACCTTGCAGGCAGACAAATGCCACTAAGTCTTTCAATGACTTATTGTACAGGTGTTTTTTTCTACCCGTTTTTTGCTGGCTTCCTCTCCTACATTAAGAAAACTTATAAGTCAAAACAGCACATTAGGGGAAAAGACCATTTGCATCTTTAAGTCTTTTAACTGCAAGTACCCACATGAAACCCCAGAGTTCCCTATTTTAGTATTTTTTATACTGCAAAGCTGCAACACTGTTAGTGCCTGTAGGCTTTTATCAGATGCTGTGAGCACAGTACACGGGAGTCTCTACTCCACAGTTTTTTCAGTATATAAGGATTCCTTAAAAGTTCTCTAATCCTTAGGATGCTCATCCTCTCCCAACAAAAATATGTTGACTTCTACTGTGCAGTCACTTTGCAGTCATTTTTTGCTTCTGATGTCCTGACCTGGTTCCCCACAGTCCCTGGCAACCCCTCCTCTGCGGTGCTGGATGACTGAAGCCAGTCCTGGCTGTACCCTCAGGCACTTCCCTCTCCCGCCCAGACTGCCTATACCCATCCTCACCTCCAATCCCATCCCACACTGCCCCCATGCTTCAGACTCAAGTGCAGCAGAATGGAATGGAGCCCCAGCGCCAACTCCACCTCCCACCAGCTTCGTCCCCCCTCAGTGTAAGGAATGCCCCACTCCTGTCCCCTTCCTGCACAAGCAGCTGCCAAAATGTCCCACAATTGAAGTCACCCCGAGTTCCCCATCAGGCACTGACACCTGTGGGGCTGTGCACACCTCAGCCTCATTACACCCCTTTCCCCTCATGTTTTTAACAAACCCCATGAATGACATCTGACCACAAACC